CACACGCACACTTTTTCTCTCAAAAGTTTTCTTGGCTTTGAAATATCTTAAGTACTGCTGCTTGCTTTTTTGACTGCCTTTTTAAAAATTATTATTAGTAGTAGTTTCAGATATACAATGGTTAGGTATTTATATAATTTATGAAGCACAATGGTTAGGTATTTTTATAGTTTATGAAGTGATTACTGTAGTACCCATCTGACACTACACACAGCCTTTCAGTATTACTGACTATATTTCCTATGCTGTACTCCACATCCCCATGACTGTTTTGTAACTACTCATTTGTACTTCTTTATCCCTTCATCTTTTTCACCCTACCCGCCAACCGTCCTCCTCTGGCAGTCACCAGTTTGTTCTCTGTACCTGTGAGTCTGTTTTTGTTTTGTTTGTTCCTTTCTTTGTTCCTTTGATTCTGTATATAAGTACTGCTTGTTTCTACGTGTGGTGTTTTGAGAAATTTTTGAAAAATGCAAATATGTGTTAATTTTTACCTCATTAGTTTTCCTTTGCTCTCACCAGAAGTCTTCAATTATATTTAATTTCTTTAGATCCAATTTCTGGTCAGATGCAGGTAATAACTGTATTCCTTCCTAAAAAACATTATTGAACATTATTTCATAGATCTTTTATGTTACTCCCCTGTGTTGCTCAACTTCTCTTTACTGAAGTAGGGACTACCTTGATCTGTGGTATCTGACTTAGATTATGCTAGTTGTACTTGAAAAAATGTGTTCCTAATCAGTTTGTCACATCTGTCAGAACTTTCACAAAACTCACGCATCTAGATATAAAATAGCTCTCAATTGATTGGATAAGAGTGGGACTTAAAATAATTAAGACCTGATTTGGGTACTTCAGAGGTTTTATACAGTTAAAACTACCCAATATGTAACTCTCCTGTTCTGTCTTTATAAAGCCATCTTTATAAAAATTACTCTACTTGAAGTTTCCGGGGCACTCACTCTTCACTGGCAGTTTATTTTGTTTTTGCATAGATCCAATTATGAGAAAAGACCTCCTTTGTAGGGGGAGCAGTTCTGCCCTTGAGAGTCACTTACATTTTGAGTTTAAATCCTTTTCTTTTATAATCCTCTAAACATTTGAAAACTCACACCCTAGTCTTTTTCTGTTTAGACATTCTTTGTTTTTTCAGTTCTTTAGTTTCATGATTTTATATTCTGATTGTTGATTTGAATATTTGTCTCTTTTAGAACTACATTTCTTCATGTTTTGGAGAAATTTTATTTGCAGGACTATTTTCAATGAGATTTTGTTTGTAGGCTCATTTTGAATGTTTAACATTTAAAATTTTCTCTCCCATCATTTCTAGTGGTTTTGTAGTTTTGTGGTTGCTCTCTACTGGCAGAATATTTTAGAACCTCATCTTAAAATTGTGTTTGGAACCTCGTGTTCTTTGGTGATATTTGGGATAATAGTATATCTAGTCTTGGAATTATTGGCTTGCTCTCTCTGGTCATGAGACTAGGTTTTGTTTTTTTCCTCATCACACAATAACTCTCCCCAGTCTAATAACTTCCAAGAAAGCCACTGTACCAAGCAGGAGTGCCCTGCCCCAGCGTCTGTCTTAAACAGAGAGAGTCTTGAAATACCCTCACTCTGGGTGGAGTACTTTTGGGTCCATTTAGTGCAGTCCGCAGTCCTAGTCTGTCAGCTGCCTTCTTCTATACCTGAAACTGAGCAGGCATGTGTCTTGAACCAGATTTACCTTTTCTAGGGACCATCTTTATGGTATTTATGTCATGTTTGATCCTAGCTGTTTCTTTTTCTTTTTTTTTCTCTTTTCTGTATTTCTCTACATTGCTGTGCAACTGAAGCAGAGGTTATGTGTCAAAGCAACCTTGTTGTGGTTTCTATTATGTGCCTTATTATGGGTGAATGTTCATTTGATATCTAGACCTGGCTAAAAAGTCAATTATTCCTGACTAGCCAGAATCTTACCTTGCTTCTCTAGGATACAACAGCCCAAAACTGAATTATCTTTTTTTGGCAGCCACCTTATATGGTGAATTTAGATTGAGTCTGTGTTCAGTTAAAGTTACTAGTGACATTTATAGATGCTGCTGCCGAGCCAAATGTCTCTTATTCTTCCTGACCTGCAGTATATGCAACACTTGGAAACTGGCTAGATGTGCAGAACAGTATTGAATCAACATTTTCACAAGCTCCCTAGATAATTCCTATGCACATTTAAGTTCTATTTCACATTAATGTAGATTAACCATTATTAAGGTAAGCTGAGAGCATAGAATGTTTGGATGATTCAGTTTTTATGATTTTTAATGAATATAAAAATAAATCTAAATTTTCTTTTAACTGATTTGATTCATTAATAGAAACTATTTTGCATGAGTGACCATTTGTCTTAGTCTAAAATTTTGGTTCAGTATTCAAGACTGGCTTTAATTTGAATTTGTTTTTATTTAAAAGACAGCATTTTCTCAAACCTAGTCTTACACTTCATAATTGTTTTATTTAAAAGTGAATCATATTTTTTTCACATTCAACATGGCTGATGAGATTAGTAAGAAATTATATTTGTGTAATTAAAATCATATAAGCTATTTTGAAAGAGTATTTTGCTTAATAGAATTTAATATCTTATTTTCAGTTAGTAGCTTAAACAGCTTTATTCTAATGTAATTTGCTCTCTGGCATTGTTTTTAAAGACACTTTTTTTTTTAAAGCTACACAATGTAGTCTTTGCATTTTTTCCTAGGGATGTCCTTTAACTCCATTGCCTCCAGTTAGTATTGCTATTCGATTTACCTATGTACTTCAGGATTGGCAGCAGTACTTTTGGCCTCAGCAACCGCCAGGTGAGATAATTTAAAACTATATTTAAAACAATAAATAGAAAAAATATATATTCAGAAAGTAAAATTAACTGTTTCAGGTGTGTTAAATTTGAAATATTTATAACTCATCGTAAATGTAATATTGCTGATTTCATTGCCTTTATCATTTTTTTTCTTTTTAAAAAGCTCTGTAGGTTGTTCTAGAGATGGTATTACTCTGTATTTGACAATCTGTCTTTGAAAGCTAATATTATTTATAAAGCATCTGATCTCTGCTGCGTAACATCATGTGCTGCAAATTAGTATGTAGCGAATGATTGAAATGGCTATTTTAGAATATAGAGAAGCCACCCTCATAAGCTGAGGATGGACATGCAGAGAACCTTTTAGAGTTTGAAGAAGAATACTAAATAAGGAAAGCAGAAAAGAAAAAAATGTGTATATATACATATATTTATCACGGAAAGAGCTATAGAATATTTAACTTGCATTTGATAAAAATGTAATTAAAATCAGTTTATTTGCTTAGCCATTGATATAATAATTCATTCAACAATCATTAATTATTAGCCTATAATAGGCCAGACTGTGCCAGGGACACAAATGTAAACAAGCTGTCACGTCAGTTATAGAAAAGCTCAGCCAAATGGACATGTAGCCTAATTAAAGTTTTAGTTCCTGGGTGTTTCTCTTAACACATTAAGTGTACTTATATTTAAGTACATCTAATAAGATATTTAATACAAACTTATAAATAATTACAAGGATTTTCCTAGCCTGAAAAAATCTTCAGTCTACCTCCCTGAAAAAGAAATAAATAAGAATAAAATAATATTCTTTACTGTTTATTTTTATTCCAATCAGTTGATTATTTATGGGATTGAAAATAATCGGTAGTCTTGGGATGATATTAAAATTAATATAATACATCCTTAGCTTTTGGTGGTTATATATTCGACTACCGTTCTATTTTATGTACCACTGGATAATATGAAGCTAATGTGTAGTAAAAACTGCAAATAAACTACAGTACAGGGAAGTAAAAGCTAAGCTGACATTTATATTAGAAGAAAGACTCAAATATTTATTTTGGTAATTTTAGTTCCCAGACAGCAATCCCCACTAGACAATTTGTAGTTGGCTTCTAGTTAAAAGTTTAAATTCCTACCCTCTTTTTCCTTTTTTCAAAGGCTGCTCTATTATTAGTCAATTTTAAAGATTACCCAAGATTGTACAGTCTGTTGATGATCTAAGAAGAAGCCCAAGAGCCATAATCTTAGCATTATAATTCTGATTGCCAGTAAGGCCTTCGTTAATGTTTTGTTGCCAAATTTTTTTTAATGAAGACAAAAAATATTGACTTAGCAAATCAAAGGCCATTTAAATCTTTAATATTTTAATAAAGGGAGAGGAGGAATTGAACATGTAATATGGGCTAGACACTGTGCTTTGTATTTTCTTATTATTTCATGTAATTCTCATTTAACTATGAGAAAAGTATTATTATCTTGATAGGGAACATAAATATCTTAAAGAACATAAATAACTGGACCAAGGCCATGTGGTCACCAAATGATAAAATTCACATTCAGATCTGGTCAGACTCTAAATCCCGTGATCCTTTCATTTCACAGTGTTACTTCTCAACTTTTAATTCAGTTAAATCTTTTGTATAGTTATAGGCTAGTAATAATTTTTTATTTACAAAATGTACTTATTATAAATTTTGAAGCTCTTAAAAATTGACATCTTGTAATAAAGCTAGTTGTTGTGATATTTATTATTGTAAGCATTCTTTAGTTGGAAAAATGGAATGAATTGACTTGAGAAAATTTACTGGATCAAGTAATTGAGCCATATATATTTACTACTTTTAATAATTTAGGGTGTAGATAATTGTCAAACATGATTTTAGCAAGTCTGGGGAGTGTTCATAACTCAACAATAGACTTTAATTTTAGGAATTTCCAGTGTAGTATTAATAATTAAAAACAACCATCTGTATTATTTCAAAGAGAAATAAATTCTTTTTGATGTCTTTTAGTAGTGTTTATTATTTTTCAACCCTCTAAATTCTCCTCTAATCTCAGATAGTGTTCATAATGGAAAGGAAATTCTATGGTGGACGGTAAAGATTTCTGTGTACTATCAACTGAAATATAATTTTATTAATAATGACATTTTCTATTCAGAAATTGACAGCAAAACTGACGAATGTAGGTTGGTCATTAAATTTTTTAATATTTAGGTAATCTTTTATATGATGTTAATCACATTTTTAGAAAATGCAAAAGAATTTTACAGAAAAATTATCCTCTTCAGTAATATTTAAGGAATATTTTAAGAAAGTTAAAGTTGGAATGTATGGCTTGAATGAAACACTGGATAAATAAGAATTGTGTCCTTTCACTATAATTTTCTTGGAGGATGTCTTTAAAACCTGACTTCTTGCTCTCCAACTTGCTATTTGTGTTCTTGATATAGGCACTTTTAAATCTATACTCTCCCAGAGGGCCAACCTAACTAATTCTTATTGCTCTGTTTTTTGCTAAATAATGAAAAAATATTTTTTTTGATTAGATATAGATGCCCTTGTAGGAGGAGAAGTTGGAGGCCTGGAGTTTGGCAAGTTACCATTTGGTGCCTGTGAAGATCCTATTAGGTGAGAATTTCAACTCTATCATTTGAATTATGGGACTTGTAGAATTATATTGATATTGATTTTACTGTGCTTTATAATACTGTAGCTTCCTGAAATGAATCTCATACTGGAAACAGACCTATAACTAACAATATGGCAATCTTTTTTTTCTTCTGTAACTTAGGAAATAAAAGAGGCTTTAAAATAATACAAAAAACATATATAATGTCATTTATTGATTATTCTTTATAGAAGTGATTTTCGGTCTACTTTTTCAGAAACATTTCAAATGTTGAAAACACAGAAAATGTTATATATGACAAACTTTCATGTATTCATCACCCAGAATTAACATGTGTTTACATTTTTCCTAACTACTTTTTTTAAATGTACAAATTAAGACTTAAGTAAGAGATATAGAGGTGACCTCTTAGGTTATCCACTTGCTTTTCTAGAAGAGCTGCTGAACTTTAGGAAAAAGTTGTTTCACAAGAAAATGTAGGGCTTGGAAAATTTGATCACCAATAGCAAAATATTTGGAAATATAAACAGTGCTGACTTAAAAAACTATCTTATTTGTTGAGTTAAATTATTTGGTTAATTAAAAAATGTATACAGATACATATATACATTCTTAATACTCTCACATAGAGGTAGAAATAATAGTACTTTTAATTTAAAATTACTTAAGAGAAGATAAAGTGAGCATCTTTTGTATTTGATATTTATTTATTACATGTGACAGGCAGTATGCTAAATGAGGAAGATAACAGAAGTAAATAAATCAGATAGTTTCTGCCTTCTTGGCATTTATAGTCTACTTGAAGGTAATGGGCTCGAAATAATCATCTAAATAATCATATAAGTTGTGGGATAATTTGAAGGAAAAGTACAGGATATAATGACAGTAAAATGAGGAACTAGTTTAGATTGAGATGCTATCAGGGAAGTGTTCTCAAAAGAAGTAATATTTAACCAGAGTCTCAATTAGGAGAGGACTTACCCAGGTAAAGAGAGATCCACCATTCCAGGTGGAAGGAAGAGCCTGTGCAAAGGGCCTTGATGCAGAAGTTTGGCTAGTTTATTGAAGGAAATAGAAGGCAGCAAGCGTGGCTAGATTATAGTGAGCAAGGAGGAAATGGTATAGGGTAACTTACGGATAGATTTATGGCCCTCCACCTGATTTATTCATTTGAATTTTGCTTAGAGAAAATTTTAGGGGGAGAGAATAAAATTGACCTAGAGTAGAAATTTGAAGGAATTGGTCTTTAAATATTTCTTCCTAATTCTAAATATGATTTGTCAACAGAAATAAGTGATTGAAGAAGAATGCAAAAATAAATTGGGGTTAGATGGTGCATATGGTAGACCATTTAAATCATTTGGCAATTAGCAAATGTGGGCACTATGCTTTTGAAAAGGAATTTTTGGCAGTGGAAGACAAAATGAAGAGGAGGGTTTTTTTATTGTCTTCTCTCCTTGTCAAAGAAATTGTTCTATAATTAGATGGAGAGGGGAGGACATTGTTTTGAAAGCTTAGAAAGTGAATCTGAGATTAATGCCTAAAATTGTTTAGGAACTTATCGTTTTAAACCTCTAATCATCTTTGTCCTCTAATAACATTATGATAATTTTTTTACTTTAAAAATTAGTCGTATTATAAAATTAATAATTCATGCTTAGAGAAAATTTAGAAATCATGTAAAAAACAAAAATATATTTATTAGTCATGCTTTTTAGTTGTAAACTGTAGTAGTCAATTAGGACTAATTCACACAAAAAATCAATTTATTAGAAAGGTATTTGGTGACTCAAAGGTTTAATTGGGACTATTGTAAGACCTTACTTGGAAAATATTCTTGAGCCAAGGGTGGCTAATTGTCTAGTTCATTACTGAGGTTATACTGCATTTTTCTGGAGTGCTGGTACTGCTATCACAGTGAATTATAAACTGAATTTGTGGGTTCAAAGTCTCAGACTGGAGTTGCCAATTAATTGAGTACCACCAAAGATCAGAGAAATAAAGTAATGGGCTCTTTTGGCTTCTATACTCTCCAAACATAAGAAGCGGATTTAGAATCTAGACCGGAAAAAAAATATACTAAATTCATAATTCCATACTCATAAGTGATCACTGATTACAGCTTGATATATGTGCTACCAGACATTTTTTCCTATGCATGAATTTGGTGTATATATGTACCATGTTTATTGTATGCATGTGTAACAGGGTCTACAAGACCACCTTCAGTTTCAGTGATTTGTTAGGACTCATGGCACTCAGCAGTTGTGCTCATGGTTATGATTTATTACATCAAAAGGATATAATGCAACAGTCAGCAAAGGAAAAAGGCATATAGCGTGAGGTCCAGAGCAAACTAAGAACAATCTTCCTTTCCCAATAAAATCACAGAGGACACACTTAATTCTCCCAGCAATGAATTGTGATAACATGTGTGACTGACTGGCTGTCTGCCTGGGAAGCTCATTAGAGATTTTGTGCTTGGGGTTTATCGGGCTGGTCACAGAGACATGCTCTGCTTAGGATGTATCAAAAGCAGATATTCAGCATAAACCATATCATTTGTACAGGTAGGTTAGGCACAGTGAGCCACTGTAATCAGGGAATGGTATGAACCCTTCTGGAATCCAAATTCCCAGATGCCAAGCAAAGGGCCAGCCTTGCAAGTATCCCTTCTAAATATTAGGCCTGCTATGTTAACTTTTTTTTTTTTTTGCACAGTATGTTGTCATTCTCTACATTTTTCGTGGTTTTCTTTATAATTTTGCATGAAAACTTTTTGAAACTTATTATTCATTTATATTGAGGTCAGCAAACTGTGACCTGTGGACCAGATCTGGCCAGTAGCCTGTTTTTACGTGGCCAATGAACTAAGAATGGGTTTTACATTGTTAAGCATTTTAAAAGAAAACGATAAGAATATTACAGAGACTACATTGCTCACAAAAACCTAAAGTATACTCTCTGTTTTTTTTTTAGAAAAAGTTTGTCAGCGTTTTTTCAAAATTGACATGTAATTCATGTACCATAAAATTCACCATTTAAAAGTGTACAGTTCAGTGGTTTCTAGTATTTATAGAGTTGTGTAACCGTTATCACTATCTAATTCCAGAAAACTTGCATCACCCCAAAAAGAAATGCCTCACCTCTTAGCTATCATTTCCTCCAAACTCCCCAGGCTCTCTAGCTCTGGGCAAATACTACTCTACTTTCTGTCTCTATGGACTTGCCTGTTTGGGATATTTCATATAAACTGCATTATACAATATGTTGCCTTTTGCTTCTGGCTTCTTTCACTTAGCATAACATTTTTGAGGTTTATTCATATTGTAGCATGAATCAATACTTCATTGCTTTTTATGGCTATATAATATGCCATCGTATGGATAATACCACATTTTATTTACCCATTTATCAGCTGATAGATATTTGGGTTATTTACACTTTGGGGCTATTATGTATAGCATGGTTTTTTAATGTATGCAAGACATTTAAATTCATATGGATGAGCTACCATTTGCTAAATTAGTTGTTTCCATTTTTGTTGTGTTATAAATATCACCTTTTAAAAACATACTTGGTGTGTATATTTCTGGTTATTAGGATACATTTCTAGAAGTAGAATGGCTGAGTCAGAGGGTATGTATGCATGTATGTATATGTATATATAGTTTTAAAGCTTTTGGATGTATTTTATGTTTTGTTTATTTTAGTGAACTCCATTTAGCAACTACATGGCCTCACCTGACTGAAGGTATCATTGTGGATAATGATGTTTATTCGTAAGTATGTTAAGAGCAGTACATTGAGATTTAAACGATTCAGTAGAATAAATTAACTAAGTGGTTGGCGATTTTCCTTTTTCTTTAGTTTCTGATAAGGTTGGTTGATTTTTCTGTTTTTAAAGATCACTTTTTAGACTGATTAATATGTATTATAAATGTGTTTTAAGGTGCTGACTTTGGGGATGTGATCCTTAGCTCAGGGATAATGAATAATCTGAATCTTACTTGGTTGTAGCAAAGATGTCTCTACGCAGTTTGGGACTAAGTGCATTATTCTTTTGAACCTTTCTTACCTGGTTAGAAATATTTCATGAAGTGCTTTGAAGAGATGATTGTCATCAGAATGTGGGAATAATATTTGCTCATTAAATGTCATAACTAACAAAACATCTATGTCATATACTCCTATGCAGTGGAAACAACTTGAAAATTACAGCAAGCATTATCTAGGAAGAATGTGGAAAAAGAGGAACATAATTTTAGTACCATCTCATGCTCGATGCAGGACAATGAGAAATAGGACACTTTTCTTTTCATAATTAAAATGTATTTGCTGATGGTAAAAGTAAAATGAGCTTTCTTAATCAGGTAATTTAGGTGGGTATAGAGAAGAAAGTAAAGATTACCTACAATCCCATTACTTTAAAAATAGCCAGTTAGTATTTTGCTGTGTAGCCTTTTTTTTTTTAAATTGAGTTATAATTGACATATAACATCATTAGTTTCAGGTGTATAATAGATTAGATATTTATGTGGGGGCATATATTTTTAAAATTTAAATTTATATATTTGCTTTATTCATTTAATATTTTACATCTTTCGTGCCAGTAAATGTAGATCCACGTTGTTATTTTTTAAATCGCTGCATAGTATTCCATTAAGTGGATGCATGCTAATCTATTTAATTGAAAAAATAGGACACTTTTCAGCTTGTGCAAACTTTTGTAGTTTTTTTATTAATATTGCTGTAAAAAAACATTATTTCAGGTGATTATGCATACTTGCTTATTTCTTGTTCCTTTTTTTCTTCTTAAAATGCAATTCTCTCATTAGATTATCAGTGTATATTACCTGTTTAATAATTTTTAGATGTGATATTTTGAATGTTTTGTTTTTGTTTTTCCCTTTTTGTCCAAGAATTTTGATTTTTTAATATTTTAATATTTCTAAAAACTTATCCAAATGTCCCTATGCATCTAAATAAGTTTAAGGAAGCAAAATGGATTGCTTGTCCTTCTATATAACATTTTCATTGACTATATTTTAATAAAGTCTTGCAGATGATCATAATTAGGATGTTATGTTTATTGTTTTGCATTTTAGTGATTTGGATCCTATTCAGGCTCCTCATTGGTCTGTTAGAGTTCGAAAAGCCAATAATCCTCAGTGTTTGCTAGGTAAGATATTATTTTCCTTTCCTGAAATACCACCAATCTGCCTGTTTTCCAGATCAGAAACAGCGAATGCATTCTTTATACTTTATTTCATCTCTCAAAAAAGTAATTTCTATTTATTTATTTATTTATTTAATTTATTTATTTATTTATTTATTTTTATTTATTTATTATCTGTCTATCTATTTATTTATTTAAAAAATAAATTTATTTTTTTTGGTAACATTGGTTAATGAAATCCAATAAGTTTTAGCTGTAGTATTTTTTATTTTAATTGTTTTACATTTGTGACCTCCTCAGTTAATATCATTAAAAAAACAGTCTTTGCCAACAGCAGTGAATTCTTCTAGTTACTCTTGAATAGCACTAGCGGTAAAACAATTTCTCTCTTATCTTTTAGTTTTAATCATCTGCTCCTCATAATTCTCTGATCTGAGTTTTATTCTTAAAATGCTTTTATTTTACCTTTTTTTCTTCTGTGTCACAATCTGCATCTTCCATTCTCATTATTGGTGCCTCTTTTGCCTTTTGCTATCCTTCTGGGCCTGTGGTATATGATGGGAAGAACACTGATTTTTATAATCTGTTAGAGCCCTTCTGTAGTGTTTAATTGCATATGTAAACCTATTTTCTGTTAGAGGAAAAGAGGTCTGTGTAATCTTGTACACCTCGTAGGGTTATTTGAAGAGTCAAGTGAAATAACATAAACAGAAATACTGTGCAAAATATCAGTTGCTATTCAGATAATGTTATTGTATCCTGTATCTGGAATTATCTTTCACTCCTCATTATTATAGATATATCTCTTTAATGAAGTCCTCTGAACCCATCTCCTCAATGTGCCTTTCCATCTTTTTCTCTTCTATATTTGGTACACATGAAAATATTCTCTATTTCTGTGTTCCTCCACGCCACCTTCATTCCATTTAACCTAATATATTACCATTCATCTGATGGAGGGAGTTACTGAATATTTATTGATGACAGTAAGATGCATTTCTTTAAAGCTTTATTTTCTTGGGCCCTATCATTCATTATATGCTATTCATCAGATGCTAATTGGCACTTGCGTTTTGTGTTAACTATAATAGTGAATAAAAAGATGTATGACATAAAATTCCTGACATTGGTGGATTTGTCTTGGGGTGTTGGAAGAAAGTAGAGTGCTGATATCAAGAATTTTAGAGTTAGACCTGTTTCAAATCCTAGATCCACCAGTTTGAGCAAGTTGTGTAATTTCTTCAATTCTCAATAAAATAGAGACAGTAATAGTATATACTTCATGGGATTATTGAGAGAATCAAATAAGATCGTATGTGTGTGTATATGTGTATCACATTTAACACATTGCGTATCTTATAGTAAATGTTCAAAAAATATTTTCTCATTTAAATTTACTAAATTGTTTTCTAGTTCCTTACTATTCCTTATCCACAGACATCCGTGATAATTGCAAAGGACTTAGAATTAAAAGTATGCTCGTTATTGTTCCATGATCATACCCATTCTCTTTGACTTTATATGTTTATATGACTAGATTATAGGATTATATAGTCATACATAATAAACTATAGTCATATAGTTTATATGACTAGATTTTGAGGATTTTCCTACTTTTCTGAAGAAGTCCAGAAAGTGTTCTAGGTTTTTTCAGAATTAGTGAATTCTAAAACTTAGATGTACTCAGTATATTGTATTGTCTAATAATTTTGGACTGATTGTTTTTGTTAAGCTTTAATTTCTTTGTGCAGACATCTCATTGCAGCTCTTTAGAAGATATGAAAACTTTCTCCTCTCTTATAATGACACAAAGTATACCATTAAAATGCAGCTAAAGCTGAAATAGTTTCATCCTATATGATTCCTTAATCCTCTAGAAACATATCTTTAGGATTTCTTTTTAATTTTTATTTTTTTAATGGACTCAGAATTCTAGCAGGGTGGCAAAAAGAAAGAGTAATATTCTTGTTACTTATACAACTTAATTAGAATAGGGTACTGTTTGTTGTATTTAGGCACTTAGCAAGTGCTTAATATTATTAGGTACAATTATTTTTCCTTTAATTCTAGAAGGAATTCTAAGGAAAAAAAAATATCCTGGGACTTGGAGAGAAAGGACGAGCAAGGCTGCTTTTGAAATAGGAATAATTTTTGTCTTGGATAGAAAAACTGAATTTTTTTTCCCTACCATATCTTAGTTAATAGCTTTTGTGAGAAGACACGTACTTTAATTTATAGGATAGATTTATTTCGGTGATATGTCAAAAGTAACATTTTTTTCTCTGTAGGTGATTTTGTTACTGAATTTTTTAAAATCTGCCGTCGAAAGGAGTCAACCGATGAGATTCTTGGACGATCCACATTTGAAGAAGAAGGGAGAGGTGACCTACTTTTTTCTTTTTAAAGTTACTTTCAAATGTCTAACTGTTTTTCTTTGGCACATTTTCCAGCAACTATTCATCTGTTTTCTTATTTGACTCCAGTTGGAGAAGCAAGTGTTAATGGACTAGATAGCTATAATTTCTTTCCAGGTTATGCCCTGACTTAAAACATTAAGTGCATTTAGTAAGCTTTTTCTACCAAAAATGTAAGATATTTGAAAAGCAGGGTTTTAGAGTTTTATTTTTGAAGCCCCCTGAGGAGAAATAATTTGTGTTATACCTTTGTCAATCATGCATGCATATAAAGCTGAACATGTGTATTAAAATTTTGTAATTCTGAAAACATATAATACCAGTGAAAGGAGTGACTAAAATATTCCATGCAGTCACCAATTTACTTGTCACTTTAACTAGTGAAGGTTACTGATATAATTTGTATTCATTTTTGTTCTTTTTATAGAAATTGCTGATATAACTCATGCTTTGTCAAAGTTGACAGAACCAGCACCGGTCCCAATTCATAAATTATCAGTTTCAAATATGGTACATACTGCAAAGAAGAAAATACGAAAACACAGAGGCGTAGAAGAGTCACCACTGAATAATGAAGTCCTCAATACTATACTCTTGGTAACTAAGTGTAACGTCTTTATATGTCTCTTTGCATACTCATTTATTCATTAAATATTCAGTCTCTGCTATGTATGGGAAGAAAGAAAGTAAACAGTTACAATACCATGCTGCATGTAAGAAATCTGGCAAAGGGGCTGTGAGAACACAGCAGAGAGGTGCATCTGTTTCTGTATGGGGGGTGGAAATCAGGGGAGGCTTCATAAAGAGGGACACCTGTGCTACATCTTGAAGAGAAGAAGGCTATAGAAGTATAGGAATAGCAGAGACCTGAGAGAGCATGTTGAATAGCTTGGTAGATTGTATGGTGGTTCCCAGGGAGTGGCCAGGGAAGAGGCTGTAGAGGTAGGTAACCTGCCATGCTGAAACACTGGACTTGGTCATGCAATTTAATACCAGTTTATGCAGAAGGTCAACATGGTCAGAATTGGAGTTTTAAAAACTTTCACAACAGTCCAGAGAAAGCTTTATGTATTATAATGAGTACTAGAAGGGGCCAGAGTGTCTCCAAGGTATAGTGTGGTGGGACAGACTAAGGCTGGGAACTGTATACACCAGGGTTTAATCCTGACTTGCTGTGTAACTTTGACAAGCCAGTTTCCTCATCTATAAATGAGGCTGATGAAACCTTGTGAGATTTTTATGAGGATTAAAAGACCTTCTGTTACACTGTCTGGCATTTAATAGGCCTTTGATAAATAACAGATAACTATTCTTATTGTAATTGTTGTTTTAATCATACTTTTGGGAATTTGTGCTTTAAGACAGTCTGGGGAAAAACCTTCAAGAGTAGTGCAGTGAAAAGATTACTGAATTTGGAAACTTGATGTTTATCTTATTCCTGCCATTAATCGTAACTGATTAATTTTCAGCTTGTATATCTGTGAGAAATGGGCAGCTCACACAGTGATTTGAGAATATGGTATTGTTTGTAAATGTGCCTCATAGTGGGAGCTGGCACATAGTAATTCCTCTATTTCTAAAAATCTGTTGAGTATGGTCTGTAATATGTGGCAAAGTATGTACAACAAAAGGAATTACAAGTCAGCAGTACCACAAAGCACTTGGAAGAAACAGTGATAAAAGGACCGAAAATAAATTTCTATAGAGGAGGCCCCTTCTTAAGAATGTATCCTTAGAGCTTTTATTCCAGTTATATAGCTCAGTTGTCATATACACTGATTTTTTTTTTTTTTTTAAACCACTTAACACACAGACCCACATAGGGACCATGTGGAAAAGAAACATTGGTCATTACAGGTTGAGACTTCTTCCCACTTTCTAGTGGTATCTCTTAACATTACACATCTTAAATATCATACTTTTAGTTTTTCATATGTGAAAACCTGTGGATAATATAACTCTACTGAACCTCATGTGAATATGTGGATGTATAAAAAAAATCTTGTAACTTTGTCTTTTTAATAATATTAAGACTTTTAAAAAAACTTGGATGATCTTGGATGAATCTGAAATCATAGTGAAGAAATTTTGGTTTATTGTGTATTTAGTTCACAGTACCAGGTGGTTACAATTAAGAACAGCTTCTGATTTCTAAAATTGGCTATTCACTAAAACTATTTTCAAAGAAAAATATTAAAATGTTTGAGATAATGTAGAACTAGCTGGCCAGTACAATAACATTTCCGCTGTTTTAACAGAAGACCATTAAAAAGTCAAATAGTGTCTATATGAGTGTAAAAAATTCAACAAAATAGGAAATTTGGTCAAAATTGTGGTTATTTTCTTTCTTCTCCATAAGTTCTTATTCCCTGATGCTGCTTCTGAAAAACCATTAGATGGAACTTCTTCGACAGACAACAATAATCCTCCATCAGAGAGTGAAGAATATGTAAGTTGACTTAGTTGATTTGGAGTTCATTACTTAAAATGCATTCACTTTCTAGGGATTTGCTGTATTTCTAGCTTAGTAGCATAAGAATCTTTTTATTTTAAAATCATCTTAGGAAAACTTGAGTGGAGATCATGGCCTCCACCCAGATAATGACCTGCATAGAACATTGGCATAGATTCTTATTTTGAGTAGTAAGAACTTTTCTGATAACAATGAAAAAAATAACAAATATACTGTGCATGGTTGTAGGATTTCTTTCACTTTAGTCTTTTCGTGAAAACATAAAATTTATGTTTTGCAAAAGATTCTTCCCTGTATTCCAAACTATAGAGAGTGAGTTAAAATCAAGTAAAATTTTTATATTTTCCTAATCCAGATCTTTGATAAATTGAGAAAGGAGAGTTTAAATGACAGGTGTAGAGATATATCAAATTGTTATAGTAGTTATTGTTAGGAGGTAGATTTTATGAAGTGAGGAGAAAAAGCAAAGGCTTTACATTTTTAGTTTATATAATTCTGAGTTTATGTTTGGTTTTGACAACAAGTGTGTACTATTTGTAATTAAAAGATTTTTAAAAACAGCACATGAAATTTGGAATACATTTTTGATGATTCCACAGAAGAAATTCAAAGCTATAACTTTAGCCTCACCAAACTATAGCCTCACTTTTATTCCCTTGTAGAAATCTTGAAGACGTGGAACTGCCTAAGAACAATTAAGGCATAATGTATTAGACATCTGATAAAAGCTAGTTTTGGTAGGATAGATTAATTTTAGTTTTAAAATCTCCGCCCATACAGTTCTTGATTATTCATGTAAATATGTTGTTAACAAGTTTTGCTTCGTTTCTGTTTTGCTAAATTTAGAATCTCTACAATCAGTTCAAATCTGCACCATCTGACAGTTTAACATACAAATTGGCTTTGTGTCTTTGTATGATCAATTTCTACCATGGAGGATTGAAGGGAGTGGCACACCTCTGGCAGGAATTTGTTCTTGAAATGCGTTTCAGATGGGAAAACAACTTTCTGATTCCAGGGTAATAATTTCAATTTCCAGATGTACAGATAGGATTATTGTTTGTTGGCAGAATTTGACTTTTGACTCATTTATTCTCCTTTTTTCCTTAAGAAAATTGTAAGAAACTTTGGGCATGATTTATGTTCAGAGATGTTCATTGCAGCAAATTTATAATAGGGGAAAAAAAGGTGAAATAACGCAAGTATCAAACATAAAAGAATGGTTAGATAAATCATGATGTATCTCTGCAATGGAAAATTATGGATTCATTACAAGTTTTCTTTCCCAAGAATCTCTTATAACCTTGAAAATGATCATAATATTTGTAAAGTAGAATATAGTATCGCATATACTGAATGCTTTAAATAATGCTGATATATACGTATAGAAAAATAATCAGAAAGAAATACAGCCAAATGTTAAGAATAGTTTTTCCAGGTGTGCAGTTACATTTTTATTTTGTTCTTTATGTGTTTGAATAAGGGAAAACATCTTCAGAGTTCATAATTTCAGGTAATAAATAATACTTTACGTGTAATTTTTTGGTATAGTTTATATTGACATTTCACTTAATCAAATAGGAGAGTTTTAGTTAGCATAAATGTTGATATTGCATAGATTACTATCATTTACTCTTGCTAAGGGAGGAGAATAATATATAAAATTATGACCAATCCAAAAGTGTTTACTCTTATGTCATTTGCCAGTCTCTGCATAGCTAGATCCTCTCTTTGGTGATTCCTGGGAACTTAATGGTTTAGAATTAGTGGCAGTCCAGGCTCCCCTTGGCAAAAGAGAGGTGGAGAGTGATGGTTTTTATATTAAGAAGCCACTATAATGATTGAGAACTGAATGCATAGTCTTATCTATTTAGTATGGTGTGAAATACTGTATGCTAGCTACTTCCTAGGTGGATTTAAAGACTTTTTTTCACTTTAAGTTTCTATTAGTTTGGGAGTTAATCACTAGTTTACTATTATATTTTGAAATATCTATTATATTTGCTGTTGGTTATTTGTGAATTAGGAGGATAAAATAAATTTTGATCTTTTATTTGCTCTATCCAGTTACCTTACCTATATAAATCTAGTTTTGATTTTTTATCATTATGGCAAAAATTTATGGTAATATAAAAATATGCATACCTGAAGCAGTTTTACTAAAACTTATCTTTCTTTTCTCACTACTTCATTGGATAGATTAGCAAGTGGACCCCCAGACCTAAGATGCTGTTTACTACATCAGAAACTACAGGTAAAGATTTTCCAATGACAGTATATAAATATGGTCTTCATTCACTTGGATCTTATTCTGATACTAAATTTAAGTATGGATTATAGGCTATTCTTGTGCTGCTGTAGTAATCACTATCATTCACAACAAGGTCTAGGGAAGGGGGGAGAGAATGAAAAATATTTAGACAGTGGATAGATTTTTATTTTACTGTAATTCAAGTATAAATGTTATTTCTGTTTTCTTGAGATGTTAAATTGTTGTATCGAAAGAAAGAAGGCACGTGATGAGGGGAGAAAGACAAGTTCTTCAGATAACGTGACTAATACATATTCATGGGATGCTGGAAAAGCTGGAGATCAGCTGGGGCCAGATAAATTAAAAGATACGGATAAGGAAAAGGGAGAAGTAGGAAAATCTTGGGATTCTTGGAGTGATAGTGAAGAAGAATTTTTTGAATGTCTGAGTGATACCGAAGAACTTAAAGCAAATGGACAAGAGAGTGGCAAGAAAGGAGGACTTAAGGAAATGGCAAATTTAAAGCCAGAAGGACGACTTCATCAGCATGGAAAACTTAAACTACTGCATAATGGAGAACCTCTCTACATTCCAGTAACCCAGGTAGGACATGGGCTGACACTTTAAGTTTTAATTTAAAAAATTTGTTGTTTATATAACTTTATTCTAATAGATGATTGCTTTGGGATGATTGTTAGATAAATGATAAGCTATAAAATTCATCTTCAAAAAGGCTTCACCTATTTTATACTCTCGTCGATGGTGAATAAAGAGTAAGGGAATACTATTTCCTCCCCAATGTTTATTTCTCACTCCTTTTCTTTCATGAAATTACATTGAAAGCCTAATGTATGCCAACCACTGTTCTAGACCTTGGGAATTTAGTAGCAAAGTAGATGGTAAGGTTCTTGTACTTATGGTACTTAATATTAATATTTTATTTAATTTTTATAAATGACATTTCCAGTCACATAAATTTTTGCCAGTATGATGGGCAAAAGTAGTATCTCAGTGTTTTAGGTCGTATTTCCCTGATTTTTAATAAACCTAAACATCTTTTAATATGTTTATCAGCCATCCGTTCCTATGAATTGCCTGCCATTTTTCTTTTAGGGTACTGTCCTTTTTTTATTGTTTTATGAGTTAGACATAAATCTTCTGTTACATATATTGTATGTTTTCTCCTAGTCATTTATCAGATATGTACTTATTAACTTATTGAGTGATAAATCAATATACAAGGTATATAACTCTTAAGTGTACAACTTGGTGAACTTTTTTAAATTTAAAAACCCTTGTAACTACCACCCAGATCAAGATATAGAAAATTCCCATCATGCTAGAACTGTACTACTGATGAATAGAACTTTCTGTGAAGATGAAAGCATACATTTTCTCTTTGCTGTTCAATACTATAGCCATTATCCATATGTGGCTACTGATTGCTTGAAATGTGGCCAATGCACCTATGGAACTGAATTATTTTTTAATTTTATTTAAGTTTTAATAGATAGATGTATTAGGTAGCATAGCCCAGTATCCCCCTCTAGGTAATTCTTTTTCTAACTTCTACCGCTATAGGTTAATTTTGTTAGTTTTTGAACCTCGTAAATATATTATACGTTGCTTATCACTCTTTTGCATATAAATGGAATCATACATTTTATACTCCTGTGTTGAGCTTTTTAAAATTTAACTACTATCTGTGAAATTCATCCATGTTGTCACGTTTTAGTATATATGCATGTTTTATTACTTTGTAGTATTGTATTATATAAATACACCACAATTTGGTTATCTATTCACCTGTTGGTGGAATTTGAGTGGTTTATAGTTTGAGCTATTATAAAAAGTGAACATTTAGAGGCACCTAAAAAATGGTATAGATGATAGAGTCTTTGTTCATCTCCTCTTGCTACCACATCAAAGTGGTGACGGAAACACAGAGCAAACAGCAAGCAGAATTGCCTGGGATCTAGATGAACAGAAGCCCTACAACTAGAGAGAGAAATAAGATATCAACCTGTAACAGTAGAAGGTAGGAGGGGGCAAGGATGTGAGGCTTCCTGGTCCTGGTCCCGAGCAGCTGAGTGGGACAGAGGCTACGGCAGCTGCAGCCAGCAGCTGCAGATGCCTCTTAAAGGGGCCATGTCCGTGACTGGACTTTCGCGGTGACACACTTGCTCACACTGAGCACCAGCACTGGGTCTGCTGCTTAGCAGGGTAAAAGGGACTTACAGGGGGACACTGAGTTAACAGAGTAAATGTAGAAGAGAATCTAACCACCAATATAGAGGATGGGGAAGCCAAAGCCACCCAATCAGAATGGCAAGAATAAAGAAGCCAAGACCATAATAATTATTTAAGGAATCTTTGGGACAAAATTAAGTGGAAAACATCTGTGTAAGAGGGCTACTTGAAGGAGGAAAGGAAGAACAAGAAGTAGAAAGCTATTTGAATAAATAATGATGGAAAACTTCTCTCACCTGGTGAAGGAAATAGACATACAACCCCAGGAAGCTCAGAGAGTCCCAAGAAAGAGGAACCCAAAGAGGCCCACACCAAGACACATCATAATTAAAATGCCAAAGGTTAAATGCAAAGAGAATCTTAAAAGCAGCAAGAGAAAAGCAGTTAGTTAGTTACAAGGGAGCCACCCATAAGACTGGCAGTTGATTACTCAAAAGAAACTTTGAAGGACAGAAGAGCTCGGCACAAAATATTCAAAGTGATGAAAACCTAAGATCTACAACCAAGAATTCTTTATCCAGCAAAGTTATCGTTTAGAGTTGAAGGACCAATAAAGAGCTTCCCAGACAAAATAAACTAAAGGAATTTATCAACACCAAGCCAGTATTTCAGGAAATGTTGGAGGGACTTCTTTAAGAAAAAACATGTATCAAAAACAGGAATAAAAAATGGTAACAACTATATTCCTATCAACAAGTACCTCAAATAGAAAAGAATTAAGTGCTCCAACTAAAGAATAGAGTGGATGAATAGATAAGAAAACAAGAAGGGAGCGGATGGAAAAAGCTACTGCCTTGATGGACCTAGAAGGTATTGTGATGATTGAAGTCAGATAAAGACAGATTTCACATACATGTGGAATATGTGGAATCTAAAGAACAAAATAACAACAACAAAAATGGAAACAAACTCATAGATACAGAGACTATTTTGAGGGCTACTAGATGGGAGGGGAATTGGAAGGTACGGTGAAAAAAGGCAAAAAGATTAAGAAGTACAAATGGATAGTTATAAAATAGACATGGAGATATAAAGTGTAGCATAGGGAAAATAGTTAACAATGTTGTAATAATATGTAAGGGGAAGAGTGGTACTAGGTTTAGTGGGATGATTACCTTGTGAATTATATAGATCTCTAATCTCTATGCCGTACAACTGAAACTAATATATTATTGTAATTGAAAATTATAATATATTATAAAACTAATATATTATTGTAATTTTTTTCAACTATAATTGAAAAAAGCTCGTTGAATTATTTTTAAAAAGTCTGGTTTTACTTAATTCTAACCCATAATAAAAACACACTATTCAATAATAAAAACACAGTATTAAAAAAAAAAAAAACAACCCACAAACATTCTTATAAGTGTTTTTAGGTGAACATAGGCACTTATTTTCTTTTGAATATATTTGTAAGAGTGGAATTATTGAGTTACATGGTAGAAATATGTTTTACCTTTAGCAGATATTGCTAAACAGTCTCCCAGAGTATTTGAACTAATTTACATTCCTTCCAACAATGTATAATCGTTTTAGTTTATTCAACATAATCTCTGACATTTGGTGTGTCAGGGAACTCCAACACCACTCTTAGGTTTGATTTGCTAGGAGGACTCACAGGACTTGACATATAGTCATGCTCATGGCTATAATTTATTACAACAAAAGGATACAAAGCAAAATCAGCGAAAGGAAATGGCACATGGGACAAAGTTCAGAGAATATTAAGCACAAGCTTCTAAGAGTCTCCTCCCAATGTAGTCAGTCACACAGGATGCACTTAATTCCTTCAACAACAAATTGTGACAGCATGTAAAATGTCTACCTAGTGCTCAGGTTTTTTATTGGAGGCTGGTCACACTGACATCCTCTGTCTAGCATGTACCAAAATTCCAGACTCCTGAAAGGACAGCAGGTCTTCAGTATAAACTATATCGTTTGCACAAATAGTTTAGGCACAGTGAGCCATTTTAATCAGTTCTGAGTAGGTTGGGGACCCTGCCAAAATTCAGGTTCCCAGATGCCGGCCAAGGGCCAGCTTTGCAAACAGGCCTTCTGAAGATAGCAGTCTGAGACTGGCTCAGACTATGTTAACTCTTCTCTGCACATGTGATTATTTCATTCATTAAAATTTTTGTTTTCTGTTGGGTATATAGTAGTAATTCATGTCCCTACATTTCTCTGATGAATAATGATACTGAACCGATTTTCATGTATTTATTGCCCATTTAGATATCTTCTTGGCGAAGTGCCTTTTCAAGACCTTTGCCTATTTTTAAAAAGTTAGTTGTCTTTTTTTCTTATTGCTTGATAGGAATTCTTCTGGATTCTAGATAAGAGTCCTTAGTCATATATGTATTACAAAATAATTTCTCCTATTCTGTGTTTGCTTATTCACTTTCTTAATAATGTCTTTAGTCAAACAGGTATGCTTAATTTTAATAAAGTCCTATCTAATGATGTTTTTCTTCTGTGGTTAGTGCTTTTGTCTCCCATTTAATAAAATTTTAACTACCCCGATGTCCTAGAGATAATCTCTTACATTTTTTTATGGAAACTTTATTGTTTTAACTATCTTATTTATATTTATGATTCACCTCACATTGGCCACATTTTGTACGAGGAAGAGGTTAAGATTCTCATTTTTCTGTAAGGATATGCAATTGTCATTCACCATTATTCAAAAGACCTGCCTTTTTTCACAGAGTGGCAGTGATGTTTTTGTTATGAATCATATGATGTGTGTTTTGGTCTGTTTCTGGGCTGTTTATTCTGTCAGTCTCTTTGTCTAGCCTTGTGCCAATAATGCACTATACTTAATTACTATAGCTTTATCATAAGTCTTTATCTGTTAATAAGTGTAAATCTTCTATTCTTCAAGATTATCTTGGCTATCCTTTGCATTTTTATGTAAATTTGAAAATCAGCTTGTCTGTTTCTACAAAGAGAATAATCCTGGGATTTTAATTCATATTGCATTGAATTTATAAATCAATTTAGAGAGAATTGAAATCTTAACAATATTGAGTCCCATGACCATGAAATACCTTTCATTTTATTTAAGATTTCTTTTACTTTCCTTCATCTGTGTTTTATACTTTTTAATGTAGATGTTTTGCATATTTTTCATTAGATTTTTTAAAGTCTTTGTAATTTTGTAAAGATTATGATATTTTTAAATTTAAAAAGTTTTTCTCTGCTATGTAGAAACAGTTGCTTTTTATATATTGACCTTGGATCAAGCAATCTTACTACATTCACTTATTATTTCTAGTAGTTTGTAGATTATTTGGGTTTTTCTGTGTACATGTCATGTTAATCTATTAGTATAAACAGTTCGAATTTTGATTTTCAAACCTTTATACTTTTTAATTCTTTTTCACGCTTTATTGCACTGGCTGGGATTGCTGATACAGTGTTGATTAGTGGACATCCTTCTCATGTTCCAAATCTCAGAAGGTGTCTGGCATAGATATCATTTATCATATTAAGGAAATTCTATTTCTAGTCCGAGAGTTTATATTATGAACAGGTATTATATTTTATCAAATGCTTTTCTTGCATATTGATGTACTCATAAAATAATTATGAGTTTTAAATTAAATCGGACGTTATAAGTAACAGTGTCTAGTGCAAAATAAGCACTCAGTTTTTTAGCTATTATTTCTCGGAGGACTTTATCTTATATAAGACATAAGTGACTAGTAATGCTTCTCAGGATGCAAGGATTTACTTAAATGTTTCTGTAATGGGTTTTTATGTTCTGAAATGGGTTGAGGAATTGTAATGATTGTACAGTGGGATGTTGGGATGTTTGCTTGGTAATTTTAAACATGAATTCTGTTAATTTTATTATCCATGCTTATATTGTTTTTTTGGCAGCTAGCTATCATTTATGACATTAGTTTTTTTTTATTTGACAAGCTTTATGCTTTTTTCTTCATTATATTCTTTAAAAAGCAAATTATATTTTAGATATTTCATCACTAAATTTTAGTATTAGGACAGAATATTGCAATGCTAAAAACCAAGTGTATGTTTTTTTTTTTGTTTTGTTTTTTTTGTTTTTTTATTGCTGTGAAGCATGCAGTTGGTGTTGAGGTCTTGTGGTATAGACCTGGGTTTTGAGATCTGGTAGAACTAGATTTATATCCTAGCACCACTACTTATTAACAGTATTGCTGATAAAAGCTATGTATCTTGAGCCTTCTTTTTTTCTCTCTCTCTAAAGAAAGGTTAGTTTGCATTTTCTAGAATTTTATGTAAATTTTATATATCTACAGTATGGTTTTTTTTGGTGTGGTAATTTTTTCAGCATAATTATTTTGAGATTCATGCATTGTTGTGTGTATCAATAATAGTTCATTCAGTTTTACTGCTTAGTAATGTTCCATTGCCTGGATATATCACAGATCATTTTTCAATTCACTTTTTGATGGACATTCCAAAAATGGGCATAAGGAAACTGTTGGGGGCAATGGATATATTCAGCACTCTGATTGTGGTAATTGTTCCATGGGTGCGTACTTAGTATATGTACTCTTTAAATTATTGTGTGTTGATTATAGTTCAAAAAAGCTGTTAAAAAGTTAAATTGTCATGGATGATTGACAAGAAGAATAAAATGAAAGTATTTCTATCTTGTTCTAATGTATCTCTAGTTTTAAAACCTTACCTATTTGTTTAGGAAACCAGTATTATGTACTTTAAAGCCAGTAATCCTTTGTAGTACTCTGAGTTGTTCAGGATTGAATCACATCATATTACTAACTACTCCCTAATTTTTAAGGATCTAGTTGTAGATTGTCTTGATTTGATTGGGTTAATAAAGAGTTCAAAAAGTTATTCTGGAAGCTCAAGCTTTATTTTTCTTCAAAGGGCTATGCCCTCCTCATTTATTTCAAATGCTTCAGTTTCCACATTCGAATTTATAATCTAAATCTAAAATAATTTAAAGTTGTTTTTCGCTCAACATGTATATACTTTATTACGAAATTTTTATGTCTTACCTTTAGGTAAATCAGGGAAAATTTTTAGTCCATTTTACTTTCTTACTTTAAAGTTAATCTTATTTGAATTATATTTGTGCTTATAAAATGATATTCAAAATTATCCCAGTTAAAACCAATGTAATTTCAAGCTTAAAGATTTTACCTAATAGTTTAGTTCCAGGGCTAGGAGAGATACCTGTGAAGAATCTGTTAGATCAGAAGTCCTTAGCTGGTAGATTAGAACAAAACTAGTAATTCTCAAAGTCACCATCAGACCGGTGTCCTGATTTCTCTCTTACGTGTGCCACTTGGTAATTGTGCCACTACATGATCTTGGGCAAGACACTAACTGCACCTCAATTTCAGCACTTGTAAAGTGCCCTGACCACCTCTTAGTGATCACATGAGATCATGTTTATGAGAAAGATTTGGGCATATTTGGAAATGGTATACATGAAAATGTATGGTCCTCATGCTACTTGTTGCTTATATTTCTCTTGATCATGTTCTTCACACAAAGTTGTCCTGAAATTTCCAGGTGGGAGTAGTCAGTATCCTTTCAACATCTTCCTTCCTTCCCTTGCTGTGATTTCAGGTGTATAGGACAATGAAAACTAGTTCCTCCTGAATAGAAAGAATGAAGGCCTCTGCACTTGAGTATACTGCTTCATCGAAGACTCATATAATTTTTGAATATGAAGCATTTTGATATGATAGAGAAAGTAGAGTATATAGCTTATAACAACCTAAATATTTTGTCTCTAAATGATAGCATTTATTGAGCATGTGCCAAGATTTATTCTTTACAGTGAATCACAGAATGCTTGAGTGATTGCCTAAGGTCGTAGACCTGGAATTCAGACACAGGTATTTTGATTCTAGAGCCCAGGTTCTTAACCATATTGTCATACTGCCTTACCAATTATTGTTCAACCCTGAGTATCAATGTGAGACTTTAAAAGTGATGCATGTTCATCATAGAGAAAAGAAAATGAAAACTCATAATTCTATAATTCAGAGATAATCACTTAGTGCAGTTCTCTCCCATTTTTCCTGTATCAAATCATTTCCCTGTTATTACATTCAAATTCTTTCCAAATTTTCATGGTTATTAGTAATACAGTGATTTTTCTAGAAGTGGAATTATTCGGTCAGAAAGCATAATCATAAATCGTGCCATGTATTGATTGTCAGATTGTTGTCCATGAAGGTTTATATGCTATATTCTCTTCAGCAGTGTTTGAAAGTACATTAGGTTTATTCATTTAAACAATTAAGATGATAACGAGGAAAATGTTTTCTTTTGTTTGTTGCTGTGTTTTGAATGCCACAGCTTTACCATGTTTCTACTTTATTTCTTATAGTCAGTTGTGAAAATTATTTATCTTTAAGGTGTTAGTTCTCAACTGGGGAGCGATTTTGCCCCCCAGGGCTATTTAGCAATGTCTGGAACCATTTTTGATTGTCATGAGGTGGAGTGGTAATACTGGCATCTAGTAGGTAGAGGCCAATGATACTGCTAAACACCCTACAGGCCCCATGAAAAAGAATTATCTAGTCTAAAAATGTCAGTAGTCCTGAGGCTAAGAAATCCTGCTTTGTAGTAAGCTCCTGAAATCTAGAAGGAATCTATTTATTGACAAGATGCTCTAAGCATTTACTTCTTCTAGGTCTTTTCTATTATCTAGGATTAGAAAAGTTAATGTTTTTCTGCCTTTAACAATAGCAGGCAAGCTTTGTTTTGATTAGTCACTGGATTGTTAAGTTCTTCATATTTCAAATATAAAATCTAATGGAATCAATTCTTGGGGAACTTTCTTAAATCCCTTTGAAAGTTTTGAAATGTTTTTTGTCACTCAATGATTCTATAGTTGTATCTTCCTTTTAGATTTGCCTTAGCTACTAACTATCTATCTATCTATCTATCTATTTTTAGTGCCTACAGTGCCCAATTTCCTAGGTGGTCTCCCATCCAAGTACTAACCAAGTCAGACCCTGCTTAGCTTCCGAGATCAGACAAGATTGGGCACATTCAGGGTGGCATGGCCGTAGATGCCTTAGTTACTTTTTAATTTGGGGTTACCACTGAAATGTATAATGTCTCTGATTCCCCAAAAAACCAACAACTTTTTGTGGGAATTAGTAATTAGAATGTCTTTTGAACCTAAACTGAAAGCAACTTCTCTGACATAAAACTTAGTTACTTGGGAGCATTTAGTTGGGGTTCAATTCATTTGCCTTTAATTTTATTTTCATATACATCAATTTTCTTCTTATTAGTTTTAATAAAAATCTTATTGCAACTAGTGATAACATTCATAAAATATCATTAGGATTTCATTTCTATATCATTAATAGACAGGAAAATGTTCAGTGTACTCATATTCCTGTCTTTTAGCTATCAAGCCTCATCAAGGGAAACATGATAAGCTTACTGTTGTGTGTTGGGGGGTGCTGATAGTCATATTTATTCTTATTAATCTGTTACTTTTTAATGTAGCTTACAAAAGTCTTGTGAATTTTTCTGAATTCTTCTAAGTACATATCTTGTGACCGCTAGTGCTGAAATAATTGTTGCCTTTATTCTATTTTTATAGTTCTGCTTTGTCTAAAAAAAGGCTGTTCATGAGCTTTGTCCTTTTGTACTTCACAGGAACCAGCACCTATGACAGAAGATCTGCTAGAAGAGCAGTCAGAGGTTCTAGCTAAATTAGGTACCTCAGCAGAAGGGGCTCACCTCAGAGCACGCATGCAGAGTGCCTGTCTACTCTCAGATATGGAGTCTTTTAAGGTGGGTCACACTATCAGAGCTCGAGTTTCTATTTTGAGCTATTCTGGGATGAAGCTGTGAAAGTCACTCAATGAGGCGGTATGAAGACCTGAATGTCTTTTTTATTAAATGTTTTTATTTCATTAGTTATAGTACCCCACATCCATCCCCTAAAGGTTATAGTCAAAGTTACTTCTTAAGTTTAAAAAAAAAAAAAGAACAATCTTTGAACAATAGTTGAAAGTTGAGAATTGAATAGTTTTTATATATGCATTGGCTTTGAGATGTTTTCTTCCTTTGTGTATGTTTAGTCAATTTAATGCAAGGCTTTTAAGAAACCCTTAGGATTTAACATAGTTTCCTTCATTCAGCGATTTCCTACTTTGTGACTTGCACTGAGATTAGGCAAGTAAGAAATAGAATATTTATCCTCAGTTACAGTCTATTGAGGTTGTGGGAGGAGATATGTAAATAATTTTTATACGATGAGTTATGAAGCCAAGATCAAAAAAGATGACTGACTCTACTGAGTGGGTCATGGAAAGTTTCTCAGATGAGTCACCATTTAGGATGAGTAGGCATTTGATACTTAGAGAAGACTGTTTTAGGCTTAATATGGGCCTGTATCTAGGACATAGAGGATTCAAAGAATGGTGACATTTGGCTTATTAGCTTACAAACCTAGGGATGAAGAAAGGTTTGTTTGTTGTTGTTTTTTTTTTTAAATAATTACTTATTCTTGAAAGTAGAGGCAAGTCTATGTATATATTTTTTTAAAAAACCAAGTGGGTAGCCCTGCAGGTCACAGGACTTCCCTTTCCTACTGCTGATACTCTGGACTGTCTCCCAGGCCCAGGCTTTCCTCTTCAGTGTGATGGTCTGTGATGGCCCCATCTCCCTGTTTCAATAGCCCCTATTCAGTCCTGCTTTTGTGCTATGTAGGCCAGTCTGCGTTTGATTTTTTCAACATAAACACTCCATGAAAACCTATTCCACTTTCATCATCCCTGTTAGATTTGTGACAATAAAAGGGAGCCTCCTTTTCCTTGCTTATGTCCCCCATCTTTGCTAGAAGAAAAAAAAATCTTTAGTAAACCTCTTAAGAGCTGCATGTTTTCTTAGAGTCTAAAAAGATACAGAAAATCTGTGAGCTGTATTCTGCTGTGAAACAAGAAAGAGGGATGTGTTGTTTTAAAATAAACAGTTGGTACAATGGATAAAGAGAAGCCAATTGGCTCTGAGGGCATATGTTAAATCAAAAAGGTAGAGAATTGGCTTAGGGTATGTGCGCACGGTAAGAAATACCAGTCTCTGCAGCCACTGTTTTTAACCTGACCTCTAGCTGCCTTCATATTCATCTGTCCCTGTCCTACTACAGTGTTCTTGCAAAGGCATGTACAGAAAGAAATTCCAGCTTGGAACTGTAAAAGCTTTTCCCCATAGAAACATATTGGCTCCTGATGGTAAGGTTCTATGTAATTTCTTTAACACTGCGCAGCAGCAAAACTATGGTTCATTAGACTCTTTTAGACTAAGCTAGACACCTACAAATCTCTTATAACATTGTTTTAATCAGAAAATAGACTATATTTCAAATAGCCATCTTACACATCTGCCCATCTGTAGGAATCAGATAATATATTCAAGGACATAGATAGTCACTTTAAAATAGATATGGTTGCCTTTCCCTTTTTTGTATAGGATGACTTGGTTTAGGGACCCTTGGGAGAGTCCCCAGAGCTTTGGACGAATGCTGATATGTAGCTGAGGCACCTACACTTTATAATTCCAGAAGGACAAGATCTAATCTCTAGTATGCTCTTGGAGTACATTCTTATAACAGTAGAACAAAGATAAGCCATAGCCGAAGTGAGTCTTGACCCTCTCCTGGTAGTTTTATGGTTAGCCTGGTGCAGTAAGGACAACCAGAAAGAGGAATTCTGGTGTGAAATGTCTGTCTTTAGCACGTTCTGTAGTACAAGAGTTCAGTACTATTTTCTTTAAGGTCTCTCTCTTCATTCAAGGCCTTTCACTCTTGTTTCCTAAGATGTTCTCATGTGGGTCTGGTGTTGCCTGGTTAATATCCACATCTTTGTGTGTGAATCCTGAGTCATGCAGTAATGTTGACCCTTTGCAGTTCACAACAGTTTTTTGTTGCGATGATGCCAATAGCTCTTGGAAGTTTCTGTTGTTGACTATTGGTTAAGGACCTCCCTCTAATTCCTCATCCCCTCAGGGAGTTTTCTAAATTGGTGGGAATAGTTAATCTGGTAGCCACTTTTGCTACCAGGAGGAATTGGCAGTTTTGCTTTTCATATTTAAGACTAACCATTCTCATCATGTTGATTTTCATTTAGGTCTGAAGTTAATTTAATTTAAAAATAAAGAAAATTATCTTCTGCTTAGTATTTCTTTGTTAATGCTTACATAGCTTACTATTGTAAGCAATTAAATATATTACTCATAGCAGAAAGAATTCATTATGGTAGAGAATATAACCCAAAAGGCATGTATTTAATGTATGTACACGTATCCTTTGAGTATTAAGGAGATGATGTATGTGGTCATCCTTAGTACTCCACTGATGTATTACTAGACACTTGGAAAAAAGAACTGTGTGCCTTACCACTAAAACTGCAAAGCCTCTATTTTTTTCCAGGCTTGAATGTAGAATTACTTAAAGGATTTTGGCATGCACCATTGTTGATTCTATAGAATTATCTACTAAATAAAACTTTAATTAGTTAGGTTTCAGAAGCCCGAAAAACAATAGTTTGAATTCCAGTTTCTTAACATCACAAAAGCAATTTATGTGATGGTAATTTGTTACATAAAGCACAAGAATTTGATGGCTAAATAGAACTTTTTTGAGGTTAGCAGATGTTTATTGCAGTACCAGTATTGATTTATTGAGGGAAAAAAGAGCAGAACTTTTCCATTGTTGTATTATTATTCTGGTCATGATGTATATTATTTGATTTACTTGACTTTCACTTACTTGATACCTTTTTAAGTATTGAGCAGTTATGCTATAATTTTAAACTAACTTTATGTAACAATCTGTTTAAGAGAATTCTTTTCACACATAATTTTTACTTCCAAATTCATCAAATAAAAATATTTTCTTTTTTTATAAAATGGAGACAGCAAAAAGAAAATGCTTTGGGTACTTAACACCTGATTTATTTTAAAGGTAACACCCAAACTCATGTCACATATTAGATTATATAAAGAGTAGATAGGCTTTTTGTGAAAGGGAAAGCGATTTTGCAAGTAGGTTTATCAGTAACTGTTGATTTTTATTTGATTCTGCTGAAATTTTTGCCTTGTTTTAGGCAGCTAATCCAGGCTGTTTTCTGGAAGACTTTGTGCGGTGGTATTCACCTCGGGATTATATTGAAGAGGAAGTGATTGATGAAAAGGGCAACGTGGTTCTGAAGGGAGAACTGAGTGCCCGAATGAAGATTCCAAGCAACATGTGGGTAGAAGCCTGGGAAACAGCCAAGCCAATTCCTGCACGAAGGCAAAGGAGACTCTTTGATGATACCCGGGAAGCAGAAAAGGTAACTGAAGTTTGGGTATCTAACATTAAAATGCTAATAATTGTTCTAGCATCTAAAAATCTCACTATCATAGACATGAGAGCTTTGGACACACTTGAGAAGCAAAGCATATAATGAACCGTTTATATATCTACTATTCAAATTTAAGATTAGAACTGGTTGGGAATAGGCCAAAAAAATAAGACGTATATTTTATGTCGCATGCTTACCATGGTTCTGTCTCACAGCATATGTCAAAACCTTAAAAATTGTAATGTCCTTTGACCTAACAGTTCTACTACCAAGAAATTTATTAAAGAAATAATGAGAAATACATAAAGATCAACGTACAAGAATGATGTTTAACAAAGTTTTTTAGTGAAAAAGTAGATATAAACCGAAATTACCAAAAATAAGGCTTGGTTCAATAAGTTACGATATGATCATTTAGTGGACTGTTTTGTAATTATTAAAAAATATTTGGAGTTCTTTAGGCAGCCACCTGATATCAGATTGCCCCCCCTTGCAAAAAAACCCCATGAAATTAATAAATCATGCCTTCAACATTAAGAGAGGCTAGAGATTGCAGTGACCTTCGAATTAACTGTAAGTAGAGAAATAAGCTAAATTCCAGTGGAGTTCCTATTGCTAAAAGCCTGTGGGTGTAGAGAATGGAGACAGGGTGTTTTAAGAAGAGCTGAGAGATGCAGAAGACTTAGATGGAGCACAGAATCATCCTAGAAAGAGCCTTATACTATGTGCGAAAATACTCAACACAGGTGGAGCATGGTAGTTAACAGCACAGTTAACTACAGTTAACTACAGGGCAGGGGCTTAAACATAAGCACGACTAGAAGTGGACACTCAGACACTGCTTGGGAAGAATCGGATCTATAGAGAAGGACTAATACCCCTTCTAAAGCAGTGATGGGAAAGAAGGAAATAAGGGGAAAATTAAAAATCCTGCAGAAATGAAAGAGAAACAAGACTTATTAACCTCCCTCACCTTCTGCCATCCATTAAAGAAACTGTGCAGAAGAGGATACTTTCAAACTGACATGATTGGGAATACTAAAGTGCAGACTATATCCATACAAAACTACTATAAAAAACAGAAAATGCAACTGGATCAGTTCAGATAATAACATTTCACAGAAAATCAACCATAAAGCAGAAGAAAATTAACATAACATTCCATCTGAATCAAATATTCTAAAACAAGCATGAGAGATAGGAAAAATTATGTTTAATCACAAATACTAAAACCAATAGCAAAATTTGACCCAAAAACCACACAAAGAAAACAAAACCACAGCTGGTTTAACTCAGGATAGAAGTAGAAGAAAAAGATAACTATATCAAAAATAAAGACTAAATTACAAGGGGCCCAATGAGAAATAGATTCATTGTAAATTTAATAAAAGGCCTCAAGGAAAAGCAGCAAAACAGCCAAGAGAATGAAAATGGAATAAAAGAGTAAAAGGAGTTGGAGAGAAAGTGGTAGAAATGGAAGATAGAAAAATTGACCAGAAGTAATGAACTTCAGAATACATGACTGTAGAACTACTAGACTTTAAAATATTTTTTAAAATAAAATCCTCAGGACCTCCAGGCAAAAAGATGAAAACTTTTATATGGCAAAAGAGAAAGTCAAAAGACAAATGATAAACTGGGAGAAATATTTGTAAGCCGGGAGAAATATATGTATTACAGATAAAGGGTCAAATTGCTATAGAAAAATGAGCAAGAATATGAGTACCAAAAAAAGGATAATTACCCTTAAACCTATCAAAAGATCTTCAACTTCATTCACAATAAGAGAAATGAAAATTAGAAATTACTGAGATAACCATTTCTCACAACATCAGATTGGCAAATTCAAAAAGCTTGATACTCAGTGGAGGGGAGGTAATTGATACTTGGAATGGGGAGCGGGGAGAAAATCTAATCCAAGCAATTTATGGGCATATAAGATATTTTTGACTATATACTCTCAGGTGTGTTGGGAGATGGGAAAACAGTGCAAATAAATCCTAAACTTTATTTTCCAGGTTTGTTTTGTGTAGTGATATGGGTAAGCAGTTCTGGAACTTTTAGATGGATTATTGCTTGAGCAAAAGAGTACTTAAATGTGTTGGTGTTAGTTGGAAGCCAGAATTCTCACTGTGGAAGTGAAATGCAAACATGGAATTGGGGTGGGCGAGGAAGACTCGATAGCGGTGGATTGGAATGTGGACTCATAGGTTTTGAAAATGTGAATAGGTATGTGGGTATGTACGTATGTATATATACAGGCATGTATTTTCTTGTTCTCTTCTGAAGGGATCTAGAAGCAGTGACACCCCAGTAGCAGTGAGCACAATGTATATCTTGATTTTTAGAATATTTCTTACTAAAAGGAACCATGCTTTCCTCAGAGAAATGGCCGATTTCAGGATTGGAAGAGGGAAGGTATAAGATGAGTGTGGAACATCATGTGTTACCAGAAAATAAGGAAGTGTTTGTAAAAAAAATAGGGGTATTTCATAAGGAGCTAGCTTGAAGGGCCTCTTATTGGCCAAATCTGGACAATTTGAGTACCAAATAATTAAGGAAGGTGATGAATTACAAATTGTTAAGAAAAAAATCAGAATCCTTAGGTCCCCATTGATAATTTGTAGATAAAGAAATGGGGGATTGACCCAGCAATTGCACTTCTGAGTATTTATCCAAAGAAAACCAAAACAATAATTCGTAAAGATCTATGAACTCCAGCATTCATGGCAGCACAATTTACAGTAGCCAAGATATGGAAGCAACTTAAATGCCCATCAACAGACGGTTTGATAAAGAAATTATGGTTCATATATAATATGGAATATTACTCAGTCATTAAAAAAAAATGAAATCCTACCATTTGCAATGACATGGATGGACCTAGAGGTTATTATGCTGAGTGAAATAAGTTGGAGAAAGATAAATACCATATGATTTCACTTATTTGCGGAATCTAAGGAACAAAAAGAACAAACTAATCAAAAATGCAAATATAGTGGACAATTTAGTGATGGACAGAGGGGAGGGGGTTGGGATATGAGAATGGGGTGAAGGGTTAAAGAGGTACAAATTAGTAGTTGATAGTTGGTCATGGGGATGGGGAGCATGGCAGAGGGAATGCAGTTGGTATTAACATGATAGCTAGGTGGAGGGCCAAGGGAGGGAGGGAGCAGTTGGGGGGGATCGTTTTATGAATTATATAGGTGTCTAACCAATCTACTGTATACTTGAAACTAATTTAAATAAATTTTTAAAAATGGAGTAGAAAGGGCATTTCAACATAAAGATGACTAATAAATATGGAGGCTATATTGGAGTTGGGAACTCTTCATTTTATAATTATATTCATAGTTGAGGTTGATCCAGGCAAGAATATCATAGATATCAAGTCTAGATAGAAATGTGGGTGAAGAGCATCATTTTGCATGGCTTAAAGTGTCTCTACAGATTACTTCAGAATTGCAAAGACATAAATAATAATAATACAATGGAGAAATAGGATGATCAAAATTAAAATATCAGTAAGGGGCAGATGGAGATTGTCTACATCAAGATGTGGTACTCTGAAGGATCCAACATCACTTACATATTGTTTGGTCAAAGAGTGCATAACCTGCATATAATTATGAGGAAACATTAGATAAACCCCAAATGAGAAATATTCTATTTTAAAAAGAGCTTTAAAAAAAAAAAATTGTTGGAGTATGTTAAAAGGACACAGGAACCAACTGAAAGATTTCCTAATGGCTAACACTGGAACAATTTGAGTGACAAAGTAGTATTGGATTATAACTCAAAGTATAAAATTAACATCGTTGAATCTGTAGTGATATGTAAATGATTGAATAAACTGGAGAGGAGACAAATCTTTCACGCAGAGGAACTCCAGATCTACTCTGCCCCCAAGGAAGTGGAGTGTAACTCCCAATGCCATAAGTGTGAGCTGTGCATTTTGACTTCCTTCTAAAGAGTACGGTGTGCAAAGTGAGGAAAAGGACTAACTTTACAGTGCAGAAACCTGACAAACACTACATTGACCAGGTGAGCAAGCTTAAAAACAGGGATAAGACACATTGATAGTATGTACTCTTTATGTGATGTGATGAGAATAGCACTTTACCTCACTGGTCTTCCTCCCCAAAATATATAACACCAGTTTAATTGTGAGGAAAGCATCAAATAAATTTTAATTGAGAGACTTTTTACAAAATACCTAACTAGAATTCCTCAAAACTGTCAGGGTCAATAAAAACAAGGAAATCTTGAGAAACTCACTCTAAAGGGAGTCTAGAAACATAACTGCTAAATGTAATGTGATATCCTGAATGGGATTCTGGAATAGGAAAAGGACATTAGATAAAACAGGAAATTGCTTACACAAATATTGACAGAATTATTTATAATAGCTAAAAAGCGGAGCTAACTCAAATGTATGTCAGCTAATGAATGGATAAGCAAACCATGGGTATATCCATACAATGGAATATTATTCAGCCATAAAAACGAGTGAAATTCTGATACAAGCTACAACATGGGTGGACCTTGAAAACATGCTAAGCGAAAGAAGCCAGAAACAGAAGACCACATATTGTATAATTCCATTTATATGAAATGTCCAGAATAAGCAAAGCCATGGAAACAGAAAGTTAGTTTAGTAGTTGCCAGGAGGGATCAGAAGTGGGAGAAATTGGGGAGTGGCTTCTTTTGGGGACTGGGTTTCTTTTTGGGGTAATGAAAATGTTCTGGAATTAGACAGTGGTGATGGTTGCAGAACCTTGTAAATATGCTAAAAACCACTGTAAACCATTTTAAAGTGGCAGATTTTATGGTATTTATTTCTTAATTTTTAAAAACTAAAGCAATATCAGTAAAGTATGGAATTGAATTAATCAGAAAGCTGGGAGGGGGTAAGACTGTACTCAAAATGTCAGTGTTATAAAAGAGACTGGAAAACGGTTTCAATTTCATTAAAGAAGTATGACAGTTAAAGGCAATGCATGATCCTTAACTGGATCCTGTATGGTGAAGGAAAAAGATATAAAAGACATTATTCGGTCATTTGACAAAATTGTGATATGGATAGTAGATTAGATTAAAAGTATTTGATCAGTGTTTAATCAAAATAGTTTGTTTTGATTACATAAGAAAACATTAATTTTAGGAAATACACACTGAGGTATTTGAAGATAAAGAGACATGATGATGTATGCGACTCACTCTCAAATTATTCAAAAAAAAAAAAATGGATGTGTGTATGTGCTAAAGAAAAAACCACAGGCCCAAATTGGCGTCACTCATGCTAAAAGCCAAATTTAGATTTAATGCCTGCTAATTGTAGTTTCAACGTCTCTGAGAAACATAACCTTAACCAGTCTGGAATTTTTAGGCAACTACCAGTAAGGTAATCTGTCGGCTAGGTCCTCTACACCCCCCACAGAAAGAAGAGGCAGTCTGCAAGATAAAACCCTTTCTGTCCCCTACCCCCAGGAAAAGATATCCCAGCCCCCAAATAATCTTTTCTTTTGTTAATTGCTCCCTTGCTCCACCCTTTTTCCTATAAAAACCTTCCATTTTGTACAGCCCTTCAGAGCAATTTTTCTAGTTGCTAGGTGGGATGCTGCCAGAATTATGAGTCGCTTAAAGCGAATAAGATCTTCAAATTTATTGGTTGAATTTGTTTTTAACAGATAGTATGCACATACAGAGGAGGAGAGAAAGGCTTGTGATAAAACAGATGAGTTAAAAAGATTAACAATAAGTGAATCTAGGCAAAGGGTGTTACCAAAATAGAAGAGGTTCATCTGCCTGTGCATATTAAAGCCAACTGAGACATAAGCAGGAGTTTGCAGCAAAGAAAGGTTTATTTAAGGAAATGGCACCAAGCCCAGAGACACTGGGAGTGCTTAAATACCTGGCTCCTCAATGGCCTGTAGGGAATAGGTTATAGAGGAGAAAGATCATTAGTCATGGTAGCTAAGGAGTTGGGGTTGTGAGCTCTACTGATTGGTCGGGGGTGGGGTAGAAGGCAGTTGATTATTGCATTAGGTCCTGATGTCAGTCATGGTCTCATTCTTTTTGGTTTCTAGGGGATATGGCAAGTAAGGTTATTCCATCTTAATGGGTCTGCAGCTGAAACACAACTGAGATCAAGGTGTTATCTTTAGTTTGACCTAAACTGTTTCTGTCGTCAACAGACCTGAGGCTTTGTTCTTAAAACTGTTTGACCTAAAGGCGTAATGATTGTGTGGATGTGCAATATGTGGAAAGGTAGAGAGATAAGGAAAGAAAAGAAGCAAGTGAGTCATGGTGCTATTAGACTAGACAGGGCCAATTTGAATGAGGGTAAAAGAAAAGAAAAATAATTTTAAAGAAGTGAAGTTTTTGCATGGTTACAATTGTATATACATATTTTGTATTCTTGCAAATTTTTCTGTAGGTTAAGGAAAACAAAATTTGGATTAAGTTAACAAGGATGTATGACAATGGGAACTCTTTACTATTCTAGATGAGAGTATAAATCTGTTGAAACACTTTGTAAAATTACTAGGAATATGACTTCAATATTAAAAATTAGCATTATTTTGTGCATAGTCTATTTTTAGGTATATACCCTTGAGAAATTCCTCTACATATGCACCAGGAAACATATGCAATAATAGGAGTATTATTTGAAATAGCCAAAAAATCTTGGGGAGTCCATCAGTGGAGGAACATTTTATCAGCAGTGAAAATGAATAAACTATAGCATCTATCAACATACATACATCTCAAAAACAGTACTGAAGTCACTGGGGTGTAACTAGAGACTTCCATTTATATAAAGATTAAAACCAGACCAAGCAACACATTGTTTAGGGCTACATATATATGTGTAAGAAAATTGTGGAGAAAACAAAAGAATGATTAGTAGTTATGCTTGAGGGGTGGGGCAGGGCACTCAGGGAAACTTGGTCAGGGAGGCACACAGGGGGATGTGGAAAGTACTGGTGATGTTCTGTTTCTTAAGCTCTTGGTGTATAAATAAGTATTCGTGTTTTAAACTATAAATACTGTGGTATGTGTATCTCATAATTAAAAAAAAGTTTCAGACCACCCAAAACCAAGCCAAAAAATAAAAATCATAAGTCATTAAATGAACAAAGCAAGTTTGTGAAACAGTATGTATATTATGAATTTTTGTTACGAAATTGAATATGCATCTATATCTGTGTGTTTAAATGGGCATAGAAATAAGTCTGAGAAGATAAACGCAAAAATGTGTTCCTTCAGAAGTAGGATTTCTGGAGAACTTTTGCATTACACGTCCCTGTATGTATGTGTGTTTGTATGTATATATGTATGTATGTATGTATGTATGTATGTATTTACTTATTTTGATAAATAATTTTTGAAATCTATGAGCATTATCAGTCAGCTTCACCTTATGAGATTTCTTTTTACTGCTGTTGAATAAGGAGCTTAAAGGTTGGCTCCATGTGTTACATTTACTTCTCTATTTCTATAATCAGAAAAATAAAATAATTTTCATTTTGGAAAAAATGATAAACCAAAACAACTAAACAAACAAATTAAGGGGAGGTCCCTAGGAATGTTTAGAAACGTTAAGTGAAAAATCTCAGCAAGTTACAAAACAGTATTTTACATACTTCGTATTCGTTCTCTTAATATATTATGTGTATTCAATGTCTTAACAAATCCTGGAATGAAAACATTCCACCGTTAACAATTTCTATTTCTATTTCTAGTATAATTTACAGATGTTTTTATTTTTTTTGTTCCTAATTTGCATGTATTACATATGGACTCAGGAAAAAAACTTTATGAGCATATTCAACATTATTAAAGACTGAAGTACTTACTTCTTTTCAGTAACATTATCCTTACCTTTGAGAGTAGTAGCTACTTATTTGGATGAATAGGGATAGGTACTAAGAGAGCACTACTCTTAACAGATGTGCTCAGTGGTTCAGAGGATTTTTTTACTTGCGTAAATGGCTGCTTTATTCTTTGACACCTGCATTGATCATTTATTTGACTTTGTGCCTCCTTCAGGTGCTGCACTATCTGGCAATACAGAAACCTGCAGACCTTGCTCGGCACCTGTTACCTTGTGTAATTCATGCAGCCTTACTCAAGGTAAAAGAAGAAGGTAAATGTCTTACTTGATTAGTCATCAGTTATTTCCAAAAATGAAAGGTTTTTTTTGCCTAAGTTATTTAATGATGGCTTTGATCTTTTTAAAAATAGAAAATCTGGAGAACATTTCTTCAGTTAAGAAGATTATAAAGCAAATAATATCTCATTCCAGTAAAGTTTTGCACTTCCCCAATCCAGAAGACAAGAAATTGGAAGTAAGTTTGATACCGTGTCAGGATCTTGCCATGCATTCTCTTCAGTTGGCAATAATTACTTTAAAGATACATTTTTAAAAGGCTTTGCTTTTTTTGCTATCTTCTAATGTATGTCTTTGCCTTTTCCACTGTTAGGAAATCATTCATCAAATTACTAATGTGGAAGCTATAATTGCTAGAGCCCGCTCACTGAAAGCCAAATTTGGAACTGAGAAATGTGAACAGGAGGAGGAAAAGGAAGATCTTGAAAGGTAATTGCTAATTTGACTAACTCATTTTTGTCTGCAGTAGGAAAAGCCACCACTCTATTTAGAAAAATTTAATAGAATATTGAGATTGATTTATGGTTCTCCTATATTTGTAACAAGCATTGGCTAGAGGCAGAGAAATACCTAATTATCATAGGATTTGACCTCTACTGTATTTTTTGATTATTTGCTAGGTGTCTCCATTCCTGCCACTTTTAGAAGCAAGTTTTACCTGTCTCTTTTTGTAGCTCTGAGAAATGTGGTACCTGCAGTTTCCTGTGGGGGAGCTGTTTCCTCTTTGTTACTTGAAATGCCCCAGAGCTTTGCTTTCAGCTCTCACTGTACCAGTCTGAGGTGTTCTGCAACTGTATTTCTGCTCAATATTCATTTAATTTTTAAAAAGATTTATGATAGCAAAGGTGCATATATTATGCACTTTGTGAATATGTTTCAAAAGTGTCCAGATGCTCTTTCCAGGATGAGGTGAACGACTAGCTCAGTCTTTTCCTCCCTCTGTGACTCAGCACCATAACCAGGGGAGCCTGTTAGTGTGAGCCCATGTTTTTGTTGGTGGTAGCATTTCCAAATTAGCTACTTCATCAGCTTGAATCTGTTATAATGTTAACATTGTCATTACCCTTTCCACAGGAATGTCATTATTGATGCTAAATAATTAATATTATATGACAAGGCATTTGTTATAGCTTTTAACAAGTTCTTGTTTGAATTTTATATCTTTTGTTGAGTGAAATTTTCTCCCAACCTTCTTTGCTTTTGCAAATTCCTTCTTTTAAATGAGAAGAATAAGCTCTAATCGTTTCTAAAAAGGCAGTATGAATTAGTGAGCAGGTGGTGCAGGCTTGGTGACTCTGTGCCCTCCACTCTGTTAGCTCCACCACACGTTATCTATGATATACTTGGAAGTACAATGTTTCCAGCACAAAATGGCAGTTTACAAAACCAAGAAATATGAATCATTGCTTTGCTGAATAAATTACACTTTGTTTTGTTGTCCAAAATTTTTTTTTGATCTTGTACTGAATGTTTCTTTTTACACTTAGCTAGAGATGGGCTTTTAACCAATTTTATAAAAATAGTCGAAAGGCAGTAAGATTGTCATTTGTGTAGATTTTAATTCCAGTTGTCAGTTTATCCTGTTCTGAAATTTCCGCTCCAGCCTTGGTAGGTTTAGGCAGTATCAATTTTAGGGTTTGTCCACAAAATTAATCTGCGAGGATTGACATAATGTGAACCGAGCTGCTCGCTTTCTATGCTTTCATTATCTCTCTCTCCTAGGTTTGTGAGTTGCCTTTTAGAGCAGCCTGAAGTGTTAGTCATCGGTGCAGGAAGAGGACATGCTGGCAGAATTATTCACAAGCTGTTTGTGAATGCACAGAGGGTATGTGAGATTCCCTATTGACTGTATCATGATCTCTCTAGACCTCTACTCAGTAGGATGTTGTTTTGATTCCCATACATGGCTGACTATAAAGCTGCTAGCTGAGTGTAAGTCTGGGCTTTGGGTTCGAACACTGAAGAAACAATGACTCTCAACAGTGACTTTTGAGTTTTTTGAAATCCTTTTGCTACTTTGCATGTTGAAGTAAAATGGTAAGTATATTTTAGGACTTAAATTTCAGAAGTTAGAAGGGTCTGAAATCCATTGTTACAGAATCTATGATAAGGACTTGTTTAGACATGTCCAGTGCTGTGCTGTAAAAAAAAAAAACCTGTTCACTTTCGAATTAGAATCGAGTTTTACCAATTTTAAACTCCATGTACTGCAAATGGTTTCACAACTTAGCTTGTAAAGTTAGTAAATCTAACTATTTTTGTAATGGTGAAGAGATCTAACTTCAGAGATTTCATAAGAATGAAGAACAAGATTTCAGATTTTTGGGACTATGGAAACTTAGGCTTTAGCACAGAAAGAAAGCCTAGTTTGAAAAATTGTCTTTGTCATTACCTCTATTAATGAAAGCAGAGATTTAAAAATTATATAGTACCTTTTGACATTTCTAAAGCTATTAAAGTTTGGATTTTTATGAAGATGATACTGCTTATACTTTGTGCTGATATTTTCTATACAGATCTTATGTACCGGTTAAGAGGTGCTGGCATCCCGTAGATGTTCTCATGTCAGGGCTCATTAATATTAAAGATTCTAATAAAAATATCATGAAGTGCACTAAATACAGGGTGCTTGTTACCCAGCACTGTGAGGACACTAAAATGACCCAGTTTTGAAGGTGTAATTCTCAGAATCAAATAAGAAGAATTTTCATGGGCTTACACATGGAATAAAAACTTGATAATCTCTTTTAAGTCAATCTGAAGTACATCTAATTAATATATTCAAAATCATAGCCAAATATACTGATCTGAATTTATAAGAAGAACTGAAACCTGGGATTATTTATGGTCCCCTAAAGTTAAACATTTCAAGTTAAAAACTAAGTATTTTACTTCGTTATAAATTAGAGCAATAGATAATTGCTTTGGTTTACTTTGTTTTTGTCTCTGGCATGACACCTAGAACTGAGTTTGTTTTTACACCCTGTAATATCTTTGCTAGCTTACTTGCCAGAAGCTTATAAGCACATTTCCTTGTTATCAATATGAATTTTCCTCATATTGCAAAAACTCTTTCCTCTTTCCTCAGTTGTTAATACTGTGTGTTGAGGATTTAAAATCTAAAGTATTTATATTTTTAATGCTGAATGTTACTTGTTTTGATTAGTCAAACAAAATTATTTTCCCCAAATTGGAAATAGCCTTTTCCCTCCAGACTGTAAGAAAAGGCTCATTGTAAAGAAAAGAATCATATCTCACTGTCCACTGATGATCACTGTCAATATTTGACATCTAGTGTATACAAATCTATGTATATTTTACAAAATAGGATTGTATTATGTAATTTACTTTTATTCTTATTTTCCACTTAATATAATTATCTTACTACATCAGTAAATATAAAAGTGCATCATTTTTCAGTGGCCTCATTGCATAGCTAATCTGAAGTTGTACATTCATCCCACATTATGCAGTTTTAAAACTTTCAGACCTTGTGGTGAATGTTTTTAGGGATTTGGCAGACTATAATCATATAACAAGCACTCAGCCCTTAAATGTCTGGCTAATGTAAACCACTCAGGTTTATTCATGTAACTTTTCATAATTTACTGACACTGTATAATTAAGATTTTAACTTTTAAAAGTATGAAATTTCACTGAGAATTTTTATAGCATATAGTAATTTTACATATTTGAAACTTTCTTAAAATTATACATTTAATAAATTTCATTAGGATTATGTTTCAGTCACAGCCCCTCTCTCTCTTTCTCTCTCTCTCTCTCTCTCTCTCTCTCTCTCACACACACACACACACACACACACAAACACAAACTTAAATGGAACTCAGCAAATAAACCACTGACTGAATTTTGCTTCAGTCTTGCTAAATTGAATAGCTCTGAGACACCTATTCTTAAATTTATTGGATTATTTTTCAAGCTATGAGCACTTTTTTTAGCATCTGAATTCTCTAGTAAAAGAGCTAGCTTTTTGTTAAATCATTTCCCCATTAAATGACACTGTATACCTGTTGAACCATCTGATGCATGAATAGTGGGTACGTCTGCTCAATTTGATAGCTAGGTGTGTTGTATGTGGTGCGTGTTTGTCTTGATACTCTTGATAGGATCATGTTCCTTAATGTAGTGCATGCTTTCTGAAATAATCTTGAAATCTCTCGTTTAGCTCTTTTTAAAAAAACCATCTTGCTTGTTTACTTTTCATCATTGTTTCTTTTCTCACCCTTTCTCAAGCTGACTGAATCTTCTGATGAGGTAACAAAATAGCCTTTGTCCCTCAGTTCCTTGTTCTTCCCATCTTTCTAACTTCATAAGGTCATTAAGACTAACCGTTCTTTAGCAGTCTGGATTTGGCATACTTTTCTTGATGTTTAGCATAATTTCATATTTCCATTGCCAAAACAATTTTTTCCCAAATCAGTGGTATCCTGAAAGAAATAGAGTAATCAGTTAAAATGAGGGCTCTAACTAAATATGTATTTTATGCAGTTTTAATGAAAAAATAGATGCCTTTAATATTGTGAACTTCTCTTTTGTGGCCATTGCTACATTACATGAATTTCTATCACTACTGAGCACATTAGCCACCCACCAAACAAAAACAGTGTTCCCAGTTTTAATTTGGCAAATGAACTTTAAAAAGAATTGAAAATTGGGAGAAAAACCATCTTTCTAGACTCTGGAGAGAAGCAGCGCCTTATGGACTGAAGACATCAGACTTGGTCTTGTGTCATTGCTAGAAGAAACCAATAGAAAACAGTACATTTCCCTCTTCATCAGATGTCTGAATATGACCCTCACTTTGCATAGCAGATTGCCTGACAGTCATTATCCTTTCTGTCTCTGTCACCAATTTATTTGTTATCTCTGGCTGCTCATGCAGTGTTTCAAGCTTCTTGTACTTTCTGTTGTGTTTTTTTTTTTTTTTTTTGAGTAATCACAACATAGTTGACTGCATTACTGAATAATGTAGAACATTTCTATGTGTTTATCATGTTTATTCATCTGCCCTTCAAAATGATCTAAGTTTAGCATTTGACTCGGTCTTGAATTTAGCATTTGATTCTATTCAAGGCTGCAGCCATGGCTCCACCGGAGGAGGAACTGAAGAGAATGGGCTCCCCAGAAGAGAGACGGCAGAACTCGGTGTCAGACTTCCCAGCCCCTGCTGGCCGGGAACTCATTTTGCGCACCGCGGTGCCCCGCCCCGCCCCGTACTCCCGAGCGCTGCCTCAGCGCATGTACAGTGTTCTCACCAAAGAGGATTTCAGACTGGCCGGTGCCTTTTCATCAGATACCTCCTTCTTCTAATTCTTCTAGAGTTACCTCACTTGTGGCGTCAGAGACAATGTTGACCCCTTCAGTGGGAGGGAGGTTGAGCCAGTCAGAGCCCTAGAGGCCATGAGCAGGGCCTGTCCAGTTGAATGATCAAGCATCATACCAGCATCCGAAAGATGTGACGCCAAGCTTGAGCTGTGTTGTGTCTTGGTGGGAGCAGAGGGAATGGGCTTGAGCTACTGAAAGATTTCTTTCCCAAATCTTTTGGGGGGTGGGGTTGGGGATCAAAACATAGCAGGAGCTCTCTGTACTCACTCTGGCAAGATTGTGCTCACTTATTCTTTTCTGTGACTATCCCTTAGGCTATTGCCTTGCATTCATAGTGTGTAAACGCTCCTTATATTTATTAGTATCAAGTATCCAGAATAGAGTATCTGTTAACTCAGATTTCTGGATATTTTGGTGGTAGCTCCTATTCCCAGAATCTGTGTTTTTAAAATACTAAATGACATTCTGTTTATTCAGTCACCTGATGGCCATCTTTATTGTACTTTCTATGAGCATTTCGAATATTCTAGGAGAAAGCCTAGAATTTCACAGTTTATGTGTTTTTCCATGTAACTGTGACCTAAATGTATTCCTTCTGATAAAACTATATATTAAATGTTGCTGCAAATTAGTTTGATATCTATCTTGTAAGATTTGTTTCTCTTACTTGTTTTAGGTGCCATGTAAGTTAGATATCAACCTGCAAATTGTCGTGCTCTTATTTTTGTTGTACAGCATGCATTCTTTTTTCTGTGGTTGCTGTCTTGGTACTGTATTTAATGAATTAGAGATCAACACATGCTAAAAAGATAGCCTTGGTTCATAGAGATTATCATGCAGTTAGTATAATTTGGTATATATGCTAACATAATGAATAGAAAATTATTTTAGTGAACTATTTTACTTTTGTATTTTAGTTAAAATGAAAATAATTGATTGGGATGTGTTGTAGTACCGAGCATTAGGATAACAGCTACATATTTCTAGTTACCTGTTGATCAGAACTTATTAAATCTGTTATACGGCTTCTGTTCAATAATCTTAAATCTATTTTTAAGCCTAAAATTCCCACTTTAATCCAAAGTAAAAAATAGTATACTGAGCATAGACCTTGCTGTGAAACTTCAAAGAATTAGTAGAGCTGTGTAAACCTGTTATATTATTTTTATATAAAAAAGTGTGTATGTGTACACATAAAGGTATATATATGCACACGTGTGTGCGTGTGTATGTGTACGAGAAGGAGGGGAGGCCCTGGTTGATTACCTCCTGGCCTTCATGGTGTTTTTCTCCGAAATGATGGACTTGATTGCTGGTGCACTACACAGTGCAGGCCTGAGCACTGAGTGATGTACCAAGTAGAAAACATTTTCAGGGACAGAGTTTGTCTGCTTTATAATGAGGAAGTTAAAAACAAAGAAACATTTTACAAAGAGAGGTTGGACTTTAAAAAGACATGAATCTAATAAAAAGGAAAGTGTTGCTTTCTCTGGCTAATTTTCTCTTCTCTTCTCCCCTCTGATGAGCGTTTTGTAATTATTTCAGTTTTGTGCTGTCTCAGATCTTCCTAAATATTTGCAGCCCACTAGATCTTGCAGGAGTCTCAAGAACCCTCTCGTACCTTTTTTTATTAATGGAAATTACCACATTTTACTTTTATTTGTGTTTATTTCATAGATACTTTAAAGATAAAACAGAAACCAAAATACACTCCCTCTTTTCAGTGACCTTCCCATCAGATAGGAAAGCTGATATTACATTGCCATAAAATGGAGAGAGTACAGTCAACTGTATGAATTGGAGGTCCAACATTTATCATATAAATGCATTGATTCATTCATTCATTGGCCATAGGAAGTAATAGATGCGATAATAGTGAATATAAGGTTTCACGGGAGAAGTTTTTCACTCAGGCTTTAGGGATCGGGAAAACCTTTCCAGAGGAGGTGATTTCTAGACTGAGACTAGATGAGTAGGAGCTAACAAAGAGGTGGGGGGAAGTGTGGTAAATTACTCGTAAAGAAAAACTACAATAATTCCTTCCATCCCTGTATGTTTGCCCCTAATTTATTGTAATTGTACTGCTGCTCCCATGAAGTAGAATTTATTTTTCCACCCCTTCAGTCTGGACTTAGTCATGTCTTTGATCAGTGGAGTCAGTAGTAAGCATGACACAGGCAGAGACTTGAAAAGTACTCGCACATCAGGTCTTGCCTTCCCTTGCTGCTAGAACCTTGAGATGTGCAAAGAACCTGTCGAAGCTGGGGAGGTTTGTTATGCAGGAAAAAATTAACTGATACAGGAGGAGATACGAAAAGTGTTACAGATAGAGAAAACAGAGTAGACAAAAACTCAGAAACAAAAGAAAATGTATCTTTGGAGAATAGCTAGCATTTCAATTTGGCTGGAGTGTGTTACCCAGAGTAGAAAGAGGCAAGAAATGAAGATGGTGAGGGAAACTCAGGTGAGATCAAGAAGTTCTGCATAAGCTACAGCAAGAAGTTTGGGCTTTATCTTCAGGGCTGTAGTGAGGTGAAGTTTTAAGCAAGGGAATAACGTGGTGAGTTTTAGATCAAACTATATAGCAGGACAAATGGATTGGAGAAGCTAGGAAACTATATACATGTCCTAGACTTGTACTTATTTGGAAAGTAGCAATTTTATCGTCAGTGTTTTTTTTCTTCTTTGTGCTTTGTTATGTGCTGCAAAGAGCCTGACATGCTTGTGGAACCAACATGAAATGTCCTCACTCTGGGGCCCTCCCACACCTTTGTATTTCTATACCAATATGATAATTCAGAGTTTTCTTTGGGCTGAAATTTCTTAAATTCTAGTAAGCATTTATATTTGTAATTCCATTCATTAGTCCAGCAAATGTTTACTGAGTGCCAACTGTGTGCCAGATACTATTCTGAGCAATGAGGATACAGCAATGAACAGGAAATATAAAAGACCCTCATGGAGATTACATTAAGGCACACCAGGTCTAAACAAATTAAGAGGAGGGAGAGTGCTTTTTAGACAGGTGATCGGGGAAGGCCTGTGAGGTGGTGACATCTGAGCAGAGACCTTAATGAAGTGAGGGACGCCGTCTTATGTGTGTCTGGGAGGTGATTTTAGATGAGGTAGCAAGTGCAAAGCCCTGAGGTGGGAGTCAGTGATTTGTTGGAGGCACAGAAGAAAAGCCATTGGTTAGAGTAGAGTAAGTGAAGGGAAGAAAGTGAAGGAACAAAGGGCAGGGACCAGATTATGCAAAATTTTCAGTTTGTTTTCTTGATTGAAAGAGGAAGCCAATGGAGAATTCTGAACAGGGGAGTGTCATGATCAGACATTAAAGAAACATTACTCTGGCTGCTGTGGAGAATGCAGTGTATATTTTGAAAGTAAAGTGCACAGAATTTGATGATGGAATCAATGAGGGTATGAGAACGATTCACGGATGACTTGAATGTTTGGGACCTGAGTGAGTAAAATGTCATTTACTGAGATGGAGAAGACTGAGGGAAGAGCAAGTTTTTGGGGGATGGTATGAGTAAAGATTTTGAGTTAGGATATATTAATTATCAGTTAGATACTTGTGGTAGCCAGTCTCTAATGTGGCCCCCAACTATCCCCACCTTTGACCTCCTGATATTTATATCCTTGTGTAGTCTCCATCCCTCCACCTCCTCTGTTGTACCAGGGCTGGTCTCTGTGATCAACAGAACATGGAAGAAGTGTTGGTGTGTGTGTGCGTCGGTCTCTCATCACTTACCCTGGGGGACGTCAGCGGCCACATTACAAACAACTCTTAGGAGAGGCCCACATGGTGAAGAATCGAGGGCTCCTGCCAACAGCCGTGTGAGCCAGCTTGGAAGTGGACTCTCCTGAGCCACAGAAGACCGCAGCCTCTTCAGGGACCTTGAGCCAGAATTAGCTACCTGGTGAAGCTGCTCCTAGATTGCTGACTCTCAGACAGTGTGAGGTAATGTTATTTTAAGCTGCTAAATTTGGGGGCAGTGTTACATAGTAATAGATAACTAATGAAATACCCAAGCAATTCTGTAAGTTTGGAGTTTATGGAAAAGGTTAGGGCTTGTGCTATAAATTGGGAAATTTAGATGTAGATAGTGCTTAAGCCATAAGACAGTTTGAGATCCCCAAGGGATGAATACAATGTGAAGAGAATATCTTGGGGTGGAGCCAGAGGTCAGGAAGAGGAGGAGGACTGCCAGAGGAGCCACTGACTTAGAAGGAAAACCAGAACTGTGCTAACCAAGAAAAAAATTAGTTGAAGGTGGGAGTTGATCAACTGTGTCAAATGCCATTGAGATGTCAAGTAAGAAGAGGACTGAGAAGTGACTGTTGCAAAGCTGTGCATGCAGAGTGGTAAATGCATTTAGAGAAGTAATAAAATTCATACTGGGAAAGAACAGAGAAGTGACTGCCTGGAGGGAAGATTGGCACCCCCAGCACTGGTTGGTGTACTTAATGCTTCTGCCCCAAGCCACGTAGGGTTTGGTTGTTGCACGCTGTTCCTTGCCAGGAACTGGAGGGCAAGGGAGGTGGGCGGGATACAGAAGAGGGCAAGAGCGTGAAGCCACTGTCTAGTGGGATTCAAGCCAACTGTAACCCTAGTCCCTGCCCACAGCTGCTGTCTGGTCCTCTCTTCTGGGCACACAGGACAATGAATAGGGCTTGGCACTCAACAGATGCTGAATGAATGAATGAATGCCTCTTATGGCAAAAGAGGCCCCACTGCTGTGTTCGAATATTCTGGACCCTTATTTTTGGCCATTGGGTACCATGAAACCAGAACATTTCAGAATATTAGTCCCTGAAAGCCAGAGGACTGCTGCCAGCGTTTCTTTAGCTCTGAGAAGTGGGGCTTGGTGTTGGCCTGTGAAAGTGGGCTTGGCTAATTCTTGAAATAACAAAATAAAGCTAATTTATAGTAGCATGACTTTTTTTGCCAGTAGTTTTTCCCCTGACAGGTAGTCATGGATAAATCTGCCACCTCCTTCCCCCACTCCCCTGCCCTCCCCCCCGCCCCCCGCCAAATGAACAGCCTCACCTACTGCAGGGAGTATTCTTGAGTAAGCTTATCAGCCAATGAAAGGCACTTGGCACCTGCTCAGAGAGGACAGGAATATGGCCCAGTCTCTGATTGGGTCTCTGGGGACATGATCCTCTGTCTGCTCCATGAGGCCAGACTCGGCAGCCTGGGGCCTTGGGCAGCTGCTGGCAGAGATCTGTGCCAGCTCAGAGGCACACTCCTCTGGTGTTGGCAGGGCCTGCTCTTGTCTGAAACATTGCTGCTTTCCAGCTGAATGAGCCTCTCTAAGAAAGTTATATTTCTTCCCTATCAGGTTGAAAACTGGATTTTGTTTTCATACAAAACCATGAAAGAATATTTGTTTTTTATTTAAGTTTGCAGGTCCGTATTCATCTTTGTTCTACAATAAGGCAGGTGAATGGCTTGTGAGGGAGATGTGTGTAGGCTGGGCTGGCTTGTGCTGGAAGAGCTCTAGTTTGGTTCAATGCTGGTGAGCTGACTGTCTGCAGTACTCAGGCCTGGGACGAAAAGTATTTCCCAGGAGAGATAAAAAGAATTAGCCACTGTATTAGTTTAAGACTGCTTGTAACAAAGTGTCACAACAAAGGGGTTTAAAACAAATTTATTGTCTCACAGTTCTGGGGGCTACAAGTTGGAAATCAAGGTGTTGGCAGGGCCTGCTCTCGTCTGAAACATGTAGGGGAAGATGTGTCCCTGCCTTTTTCTAGCGGCCGATGGTGGTTGGCACCCCTTGCTGTTCCTTGGTTTGCAGCTGCAGGACTTAGGTCTCTGCCTCTGTCATTACACACTATCTTCCCTGTGTGTCTGTCTCTTCTTATGACACCAGCCAGCCTGCTTTAGGATGACCTCATCTGAACTGATTACATCTGCAGTGACCCTGTTTCAAAAAAAGGACACATTCTGAGGGGCTGGGGGTTAGGACTTCAACATATCTTTTTTGGGGGTGGGCGAAGGATCATTAATTCAACCCATGAAAGTGTCATTCATGAACCATTCCCATCTAGTTGGTGCTGGGCCATGGAGCTTGATGTATAAAAGCAGGGGCCTAGCTCCAGAGAGATCAGTTTTAAAGCCCAGCCTTCTTTACCAGCCAGACACTGGGCTGGTGCCTGACCTCTTCCTCTGCCAAAATGGGGGCAAAGTATCCAACAGGTTACAAAAATTAATATCTGAAAAGCATGGTACAGGGTACTTAGTTGTATAACAAAGACAAGTTATTTAACTGTACTAAGTGGCACAATTGTGGATGAGTGAATGATTAGCTGGTGGAGACAGGCTCCACTGTAAGGTAAGGACACGCCTACCCAGCCGGTGTTTGTAGATGACTACCTGGTAACAAGAAGAGTGACTTCAAAATTGACCATCTCATCAAGTTAACTGTTTCTTTTGATCCCTTTTCTCCTCCTTTAGTCACAGGTTTCAGTGAGGAAGT